GCATATGCCTATCTGCACAATCAGTCACAGACAGCTGCCTAAAAATTCAGTTGTTGATGCACTTTATTGATACGTTTTGTGCGAACATTGAAAATGTTCCATCACACAGCCGAACACTGAACAGGATATTTGACATATTTACACCATTGACCAAAGCGTCCGAACACGGTAACCTCGACACTGTGAAGATGCTGATACAGAAAGGAGCTGATGTCAATCTGGAAGATGGTAGAGGTTCCACACCTCTTCATACTGCTGTGGGTTGGGACAATTTAGCCTGTGTTACAGCTCTTCTTGAAGGTGGAGCCCTTGTGAACAAACGTGTACCAGGTTCGCAGCCTGTGTTATTTGCTGCAAACAGGCTTGACATGGTTCAGAAGCTGGTAGCTGCTAAATGTGACATTAATGCAACGGATGAAGATGGAAGATCAGCCTTACACACAGTGGCCGGATTTAACAACTTTGATGTTCTTAAATTTTTATGCAACAAAGGATGCAATGTTGATCAGAAGGATGAGTACGGCCTCACAGCGTATCACGTGGCAGCAGAGTATGGGGATCTGGATATACTGAAATATCTGCATAAAATGCATGCTAAGCCGACAGTTGATGTTGACGGATTGTCAGTGCTTCACTACGCTTGCTGTTCCGTCAATGAAACAATGGAAAAGGTGCAGTTCCTGGTGGACACTGTGAAGGTGCCACTTGATACAAGAGATGAGGATGGAAGAACAGCGCTGTATCCAGCAGTGCAGACAGCAGGGTTGGAAGTGGTGGAGTTCCTGGTAGAAAGGGGGCTGAGTATAAGGGACAGGGACAAGGATGGCAACACCTATCTACATGCGGTATTTCTAAGGTATGAAAAGTCCACCCATGATGAACTGGTGACGTTCCTGTTCAAGGCCAACTTGGATCCAGACTTGTACAACACACGTGATGGAAGAACACCACTGCATCTCGCATTAGATTCAGGACTGTGGTATTTCTTTGAAGACCATTTGGTGACTTTGATTGACAGAACTTCCAATATCAATCACAAAGATTCCGAAGGAAGGACGCCTCTTCATATGGCAGCATACCGTGACGCCAGTTGGGTTGTGAAGCGACTCCTTGACAAAGGAGCTGTCAAAGAGATAAAGGATTCAGAAGGATGTAAAGCTATTGATTTGGTGCCTGAAGATGGAAGTGGCGAGACGATGAAGGCTCTTTTGTCCACATCTGAGTTACCTGCTCGTGAAATTGTATATCTCAGGCAGGGTCTGTCAACGGAAGACTAGGGGCGGTGGTGTAGCCTTTTGTGTCCTGAAATACCGACTCCTGAAATTATACACAGCAAACAGGGTGCGTCTCCAGAAGTTACAGCAAGCTACGGTTATAACGAACAAGTGATCACGTATTCTAGTTCGATATAACCGTAGTTTCTTGTACGCAGTTCCCCGGTTGTTGTAGCCGTACTGCACTGTACTTTGAAAAGCATCAAAGAGATTCACACTAGTGCAACGCTACAAAATGGGGACAGAAAAATATATCATCAGACTTTTGTCAATTCAGCCAGTGAACATTTGACATTTGTAGCTTGACAACAGAAATGAAATGTTAACTTTCATTAAGGGACAAGCATACGCAAGCAATGTATTCATAACTTCTTTCTAATAGTGATGCTAGTTTCAGGTGCAAGATAAACATTCGAAAATGGACCTACTGATCCAAGTCGAAATCGACTAAACCGAACCGAGTGTAGATTAAACATTGCCCAGGCATTTTCTATGCACGTACACGTGTCCTCGCCTCCCGAGAGAACAGCCAGGAACATACTTGTTCAGTCGTATCCTGGTATCTCGAACAATGTGGGACCGGGTTGTAGCTTCGAGATATCCTGGCGTTCGAGATAACGAGACCTGAACAGCTTCCTTCCCCGGAGCTACTCCTCGGTTTTTTCTCGGACTATCACCTTTCTCGAGCAATCACCTTTCTCGAACATGTTGTAATATTATGTTACGTCCGAGGTTCATTAAGTCAAAGGCAGCTTGTCATACTCGCCTCGATCGAGTTAATTCACTTCTTGGATATAGTGAGTAGCGTCATTAGGTTTTGATATTGAACGTTCAAAGTCAAATCAAGTTACAAATATCAAGATATTTCGATCTGGAATTCGAGATAAACGGTCACATTTTCAGTCCATGTAGTTATATTGTGAGGCGGGAATGGTTACGCAATGTCGGTAAATTAGAGACCCCGAATTTCAAGAGTTGAAATTATATTTTTATCGCACAGAGTATGGAACTTCCTTGCGCAGGAAAAATCGTAGGGTTTATGTTATCTGAAGTGACACTTATCGATCTCTTGTCCTCGTAGCGTTTCAAATTGGCGTTGTAAACCATGCGAAGCTGACCTTTCTCGTGATCAACTGTCGTTATTCCGAGGCCAGCAGTTTACGGAAAGGGGCGAGTGGTGACGGTTTAACCCATTCAGTGACCTTCAAGAAGACTCCTTCCTTTGAATGTTATGTGCGAAAATACGACAAACCAATCAGAATACGATTGAGGTACTTTGATAACAATAATCCCAAGTACTTAAGTTAATTATTGCACTATGCGATTGTTTAGAAAATCGTGGAATTGAATCGTGAATTGTGTTGCTTAATTTTTAAGTTTTTGATAAGGGTAGGACCACGAACAGTGATAGATTGAAATACCCACATGTGCATTTGTTTACATAACAGGTCTCATGTGTCCAACTGAGTGTGATATTGGGGGCTTGCTTTGTAGATTTTACGTGTACTTTCCGACTCTTTTGTATAAGAGACAGACAGACAGACAGACAGACAGACAGACAGATACATTCAGTATAAGGCCTTTGGCCCAAAATACAGACAATATAGGGTTACAAAATATCCCTGCGCATAATACATATTTACATACATTCCATAGCATAAAATAGTACAAATGCATGATATGAATATATTACATATTAGTTTGCCTTATTTGTTGTGCTTTAAATAAAAAGATTGAAGAGTTATGCAAAATATCATAATTATGAGAAGCGATTATAGAAATAAAGTTATGTTGAGAGGTAGTATTGATGTATTTACCAATAAGTGTATTACGGAAAAAACTATAAGCTTCACAGATTAGAAGTACATGGTATTCATTTTCAATAAAATACTTTTTTTGGATAAACAGAGAGGACAGAGTCTTTCTACACATGGTGTAGCTTGATGTCTTCCAGTGTTGACAGCTATTCTAAAGTTACTGCATCTGAAGCGTGATAAGATCCTTTTTAAGCGAGATGGAAGTTATGAGTTCAGATAGTATTCAACAGTCAGTAGGGATATATATATCTTTTATATGAATAAGAGTCAGATAGGTTATTAACATTTACACTCCAGGTTTGTTGTAGATTGTCAAATATTCTCTGCTTAAACATTGATAAGAAAATATTTTTTGTCTCCCACATCTTGGGAGATCCATGCATATCCAAATCCAAATCTGAATAAAATATTTTTAATATTAGTACCATAAGTGGTGCGTCCCATATCATCAAGTGCAGTTAGCATCCTGTAGCACTGGAGGGGGAGTCTCTCAGGGCCCATTTGTATCAGCCTACACCAGTACTTGACAGCTCTTGTCATATATGTAAGCTGCAGTGGAGCTCTACCACACTCTCTTTTGTATAATGTCATTACAAACAGAAACGAGTTTCTAAACAATATATTCATATATAACTAATCAACTTTACTCTCAAATATTGTTCTTACAATTCACTTGTCTGGGGATATAATAGTCTGTCGCTTCATATTTTTTCCACAATATTCATTTCAAACTCCAGGGATATTACAGCTGAAATAAAATGACAGCTTAATTGTCTATTCATGCAAAAAGAATCACATTTGCAATTCTTAAACCGTCTTTATAAAGATTCATACGGGAATATAAGGTGAACAGTAGAATATGTGTTTAACATATCATCATCATCATCATCATCAGCATCAGCAGCAGCAGCAGCATCATCAGCAGCAGAATTGTTTGAAACAAATAATAATCCTTTAAAAAGAAACAATTGGACACTTTAACTGACAGGGACATAAGGGTTTTGAATTCTAAACTTCAACTTTGAATTGGGTAATTATATCTCAACATCCAGTTTTCACTCTTTGTACATATGTGGCAATAAAATATTGGTATATGTGCTTTACACATGATCACTATGTTGTTAGTTGTTTTCTTTTATAGTTTACGAAAACCCTAAATTTAATTCATTTGTTGGAATTCTAGATCTTTTCACAATAATTTAAGGAACCCTGTCCGAATAATGTATTCCGCCTATTTCACGGGGTTGAACTGTTTAAATAAACACAACCACCTCCGTGGTGTAGTGGTAAGAGCGTCCGCCCGGAGAGCGGAAGGTCGCAGGTTCGATCCCCGACCGCGTCATACCAAATTTGTTGGTCCCTGTCTGTAGCTCGGCATTAATTGGTACAAGGATTGGTCGGCTCGGAGTCAGTATAATGTGTCTGAGTGGGGTATTCATGCTTCACTGCGGCACGGTATCTCAGTGGGCTAGCACTATAAAACCAGCTTAAGTCTGGGCTAGTACAAGCAGCCGCACATACACATACACACGCATGCACGTCGTCATATGAGCGAAATATTCTCAAGCACGACGTTAATCCCAATTTCACCTCACCTCTCCTCAGTCCTGTCCCACAACGAAGCATAAGTGATACATATGGCCTCACCTTAGACAAATGGGCTTGTTCAAAACAGCCTCTGTTCACCCAGCAGAAAATGGGTACCCGGTGGGATAAGGCATGTGACTATTAACCTTAAAGGTAGCTTGGGTTATCCGGGATAATAATCATAAGATTATATTTGTTAGCGCTATGAGCATTCGCCTTGTGAATGAAGTTTAGCGAATTAGAAATGTACTTATTATTATTTTTTTTATTATTATCTGGTTTGGTATCACAGTGTCAGCTCGCAATGGCAAATGCATGGGTTCGATTCTGACTTCCTTGTCTTGAGTCCATTCTCGGTGTCGTTATTCTTCGAATAGCTGGATATATTGCCGAAGGCGGTGTAAGTTTGTTGCAAATCTGAAAATCAGCTGATACACGATTCTGTAGGTTAACGGCAGCTGAAATCTATGGGTTCTGTTGATCCGTGAACGAGTCGGTGGTTTTGGTTCGACTCTGCTTTGATAATGCTTCTGATTAAAGTTGAAGAAAAGCCTGAAGTGATGCAAAGGTTCACATACTTCCCATCTCCATGAGCATGGGTATGGAATGAGTGAGTGCGTTGGGTTTTACCCCACTTTTTCACTATTCCAGCAATATCACGGCGGCAGAAACGGGCTTCACACATTGTACCCATGTGGGGAATCGAATCCTGGTCTTCGGCGTGACGAGCAAACGCTTTAACCACTAGACTACCGTACCCCACCGCCCCGCACCGGTATGGACAAACCAAGAATCATGATATTGCAAGACAGTTTGAACATTTCGCTATTTCATTTAGTTATTGAAAACTAAATAGTCCTGATAATTTTGCTGATAATTCGAAAATGTTGGTCGGAATTAAGTCGAATTAAGTTAAGAGGAGAGAAGTGTTGAATGATTTGGTTAAAACGTTCTCTGCTTGATCACAAGGGCCGCAATTACGGGAACATTCGCTCTTAACAATTAGCGGGTTCGATTCCCAACATGGGTACAATATGTGAAGCCCATTTCGGGTGTCCCCGTCGTAATATTGCTAAAAGCGGTGAAAAACTCAAATCACTCACTCACTTTAACAATTAGTTTGTTCCATATTTACTATAAGATGTGTGTTGAGTCGGTGAAGCCTTGGTTTTTGAGTGTTTCATGTACCAGACATTAGTGTTAATTGATAGATTCTACTTTACAGATAATGGTCACTTTACAGATATCACTTGTCACTTTACAGATAACTGTAACTTTACAGATAACTGTCACTCTACAGATATCACTTGTTACTTTACAGATAGCTGTCAGTTTACAGATAGCTGTCACTTTACAGATAACTGTCACTTTACAGATATCACTTGTTACCTTACAGATATCACTTGTTACCTTACAGATATTACATTTCAAATACTTGCCACTTGTGCCATGGGCCGAAAGCCACAGGACCTCTCTAAAATAGCAAGGGGTCCAGGTTTTAGGTGAACAGAAAAACAAATGATCAAATTATTCCATCTGGTATACTTGAAAATATTTGTTTGCTATGGAGCAACATGGTGTTGAATTATAAAGATAAAATCCTAACGTTTTGCTCGGTGCATGTATATTGAGTGTGAATGCACTCTGTAAATACTTCATATTTTTAACAGTAAAGGATTTTGAGGAATTGACTGCATCTCATGCAATGCATTTTTGGTTACAAATCAGTCAGTTAAATCAATAGTGAGTAAGTGAGTTTAGTTTTACGCCGCACTCAGCAATATTCCAGATGTATGGCGGCCGTCTGTAAATAATCGAGTCTGGACAAGACATTCCAGTGATCAACAGCATGAGCATCGATCTGCGCTACTGGGAACCAATGACATGTGTCAACCAATCCAGCGATCACCCTATCCCGTTAGTCGCCTATCACGACAAGCATGGGTTACTGAAGATCAATATTCTTACCCGGACCTTCACGGGTAGTCAAATCAATAAAGTCAGCATTCTTTGCATAGAAAGTGTAATATACTCACTGTAAAAAGTAACTGTACATAACATAAAAATGCATAAAATAAAAGATATTTGAAAAAAGCCCAAAATAAACATATAGCAAAAGAACTTTGAAGAAATTTTATGTCATGTGGCACGTGCACTTTGTGTACAATGAACTTACTCATTTTTGTATGCCTTTTGACACATGAAGTTCACATACCTGATATTGAAAAAATGAGAACGGTTGATTATTATCCAGGCTGAATGTCGTGGAAAACACGCTAATTTCAACCTAAACTGCGTGCACGTCATGCCACGGCTTACATAAAATCAGCGTCTCCACGCGGTGGCTATGCTAGAGACTGGAACGGCCCAAAATGAAGTCGCCGGACATTTTTGTGTCCATCGAAACACGATTTTATCTCTGAGATTTACGTCAGAGACACGACAGATTTGGCTCGGACCGGCCATCCACTCGTCACTACATCAGCAACACAACCACATTCGGCTGACACATCTAAGGAATCTATTCCAGACTGCCAGTTTGACTGCTCGGACCATTCCTGGCTAACGTGCAATCAGTTCCAGGACTGTACGGTACTGACTGAGGGGCGGTGGGGTAGCCTAGTGGTTAAAGCGTTGGCTCGTCACGCCGAAGACCCGGGTTCGATTCCCCACATGGGTACATTGCGTGAAGCCCATTTCTGGTGTACCCCGCCTTGATATTGCTTGAATATTGGTAAAAGCGGCGTTAAACCATACTCACTCACTCACTACTGACCGAGGGAGCACAACATCCTGCCCTGACGGCCTGCAATACGTCAAATTTGCTCAAACGTCACCGACAGGCATCTACGGTACAGGAGACAAGATTGGGATGGTGCTTTGTTCACTGACGAGTGGAGATTTCATTCGGACATCTCAGATAGCAGGGCAAGGGTGTACAGACGGTGAGGTGAACGGAATGCTGACGCGCGCGTTGTTTAACGTCGACAGTTTGGTGGCATAGCGTTAAGATATGGGGAAACATCACATCACATGGTCGGAGACATCTTGTGAATGTCACTGGCAATCTGGCAGGTCTGCTGTACAGGGATGAGATCTGTGGAACTCATTCAAGGACGAGACCCCGGAAGTGGTCACACTTCGGAAGGTACGAGTAAAACCTAAAATGAGGACAACATGCGAATACACCGAAACGTCGCTCACATTGATAATAAAGAAGTTGTATATCCATATAGCTCTCCCCGTTTGTTAAGTACAGTGTTTACTGATGAAAACGAAGATAAATAAATTTTACACAAGTACTAAATTTTTAGTCTCAGTCTCACACATGATTCACTGATATAATATCCAATGTCAGCAAGAATATGTACGTATACAAACTGCATACATTCGAAAATTATATTTCACAAACAAACATGACACACGCTTGGCTGTAAGCAGTCGCCAAAGCGGCATATACTTATGATTAAGGCTTTAATTACAACAATACCCATTGAACAACTTTTTGGTTTTTTAGCAATATTCCAGCAACATCACGGCGGAGCACCATAAATGCACTTCACACATTGTACCCATGTGGGGAATCGAACCCGGGTCTTCGGGTGACGAGCGAACGCTTTTTCCACTTGGCCAGCCCACCGCGGACGTGACAGAGAAATTCCACAGTACACCCCATTCCAGATGATGGCTGAGGATGAGATTGGCGTGTTTTGCCAAGCAGTTTAAAGACTGGATGGATCGATGGTGGTTTAGAGAGTTTGGATCAGGTGGTCAGACTATGTGGATTGGATGAATAGGCTTGGTGGGTCAGGTGGTTTAGAGAGTTTGGATCGGACAGGCTTGGTTGATTGCGACTCAACGATCTGGACGGTTGCTCTTAATATTAATCACTATTTTGTCGGACTTGACTCACAGGTCCTTTATTTTGCTGGAATATATCTGTACGCGGAGTTAAAAAACAAACTAACAAAACGGAGGGTCGGTACCATGCTCCTACAGTATTGGAGAAAACAGCTCTGTGGCTACGATGCATATTTTATGTCCGCTTCTGTTACAAATTCAAATACGAGCATTTGACCACGAAGTCTCTGACGATCGGATGTTTAGTAACTGTCAAACATCCATTTTCCGCTCCACCTATTTACCTTCCTGAACTCATAATAAAAGAGGACGTGCAACTGCTGCAACTGCGGGATTTCAGACCCCTACATAAAACGTCACTGTGACGTTATTCCCTTGGCTGACTGACGTGTAGATGACGTTAACACGAAGACATGTTGCTTGTTGTTTAACGCCGCACTACACAATAGTCCAACCATACAAATAATCCAATCTGTAACAGTGCATCCAGTGATTGACATAATGAGCATTGATCTACGCACGTACGATGCGCGTGAAACGAACGATATGTGTTAGCCAAGTCGGCGAGGCTGACCTGATTCCGTTTGTCGCCTTTCAGTTGAGTGAGTGAGTTTAGTTTTATGCCACTTTTATCAATATTCCAGCAATATCACGGCGGGGGACACCAGAAATGGGCTTCACATGTTGTACCCATGTGGGAATTGAACTCGGGTCTTCGGCGTGATGAGCAAACGGGACCAAGTTTTAGCTTCGAGAGAACCGTACGTTCGACACTTCAAAGTTCGACACAACAGTGTTTGACTGCAGCCAACTGTCTAGTAATATCCCCGTCACTCTAGCCTAAGGTGTCCACGTCTGTTTGTTTGTTGTTTTACACCGCACTCAGCAATATTCCAGCTATATGGCGGCTGTCTGTAGATAATAAAGTCTGGACCAGACAATCCAGTGATTAACAGCATGAGCATCGATCTACGCAATTGGGATACGATGACATGTGCCAACCGAGTCAGCGAGCCTGACCACCCGATCCCGTTAGTCGCCTCTTACGACAAGCATGGGTTACTGCAGACCAATTCTGACATATCTAACCCATCATAATATCCATCAATAAGTACAATATAGGACCATCAAAGAGACCGTCAAGACCCACCACCACCTGGTCCTATGTATTCCACTTTAAATGCCCTTCAAAGATTTAATTCTAATCCGGATCTTCACGGGTACATCTGAGGTAAAATCAAGAATGCTCCTTCTTCGAAGATTTCCAAAGCGTCATATGACACTTGCTCAAAACTTGTTTGATCAGTTTTACAACATTCGTAGTTTTCAAAATATTTTATGGCTGACATTTTCGCCATTTAATGAAGTTCGATGCACGTCCCTTTGTACGTGGATTGACAGGGATCATTGTGTTTTCGAGATTGTCCCTGCCTTTGCATGTGTTTGTGATCGGGGCAGAATGCGCTCAAGCTTGTTTTCATCACTAATTGACATTGATTCATAAACACATGCGGAGTCGTACCATGGACGTACAATGGAAAGACTTACTTGTCGCAACATTCCAGCTATATCCCTTGGGTATGCATAAACTCAAATCGAGTGGTCGATATCATGAGCAAACCAAATCGAAACTCTTACTACTCGATACATTTAAACAGTGATTGATTATATTTCGGTATTATGGCCTTGGGCCCAAGTACAGTTATATAACGAAGGCACTAATTATACTGCAAAGTAGGTGAAAATATCAAAAGAACTGACGTGTTCACAAAACAACACAAAACAATATTTTAATCCAGAAGCTACTACCTTAACAAGATGTCACAAAAAATAATTGTTCACATTGTCTTAAAAGTGGGTTGATGTTTGTCACCTGCTGTCAATAAAAACCTTGACAGTACTTTGGGTGAGTGAGTATGGTGTTACGCCGCTTTCAGCAATATTCCAGCGATATCACGATGGGGGACACCAGAAATGGACTTCTCACTTTGAACCCGGGCAGGGAATCGAACCCGGGTCTTTGGCGTGACGAGCTAACGCTTTAACCGCAATGCTACCCCACCGCCCCTCAATGTTTTCAGGAGGTGACAGACAAACAAAATGTCAAACAAAATTGTTCTTCAGATGAATCAAAATCTGTTTGGTATACGAGGATAATAGATAATGCTTTAAATACCGTGAACAAGTGACTTACTTAGTCTTCCGGAGTGAGTGAGTGAGTGAGTGAGGCTTGAGAGGGGCGTTCGTCACAGCTCACTCACCAACCCTAATGTTGCAATGTGAGTGAATGCGTTTAGTTTTACGCTGCTTTTAGCAATATCCCAGGAAAATGTCGGTGGGGGGCACCATATATGGGCTTCACACATTGTACCCATTTGGGGAACCCGGATCTTCGGCGTGACAAGCAAACGCTTTAACCACTAGGCTATCCCACCGCCCCTAGTCTTCCGTTGACAGACCCTGCCTGAGATATACAATTTCACGAGCAGGTAACTCAGATGTGGACAAAAGAGCCTTCATCGCCTTGCCATTTCCGTCCTCTGGCACCAGATCGATAGCTTTACATCCATCTGAATCCTTTATGTCTCTGTCGGCTCCCTTGTCAAGGATTCGCTTGAGAAACGTTACATTGCCAGAATAAGCCGCCAAATGAAGAGGTGTCTTCCCTTCGTGATTTCTTTGATTCATTTTGGAAGTTCTATCAATCAAAGTCATCATATGGTCCTCGAAGAGGCTCCACAATCCTGAATCCAATGCCAGATGCAATGGAGTGTTGCCCTCACTGTTACACAAATCTGCATCAACGTTAGCTTTGAATAAGAACTTCACTACCTCATCGTGATCGGAGTACCGGATGAATACCGCATGTAGATATGTGTCGCCATCCTTGTCCCTGTCCCTTATACTTAGCCCCCTTTCTACCAGGAACTCCACCACTTCTGCATCACCTCTCTGCACTGCCGGATACAGCGCCGTTCTTCCATCCTCATCTCTTGTATTGATTGGCACCTTCACAGTGTCCACCAGAAACTGCACCTTTTCCATCGTTTCATTGACGGAACAGCAAGCGTAGTGAAGCACTGACCATCCGTCAATATCAACTGTCGGCTTAGCATGCATTTGATGCAGATATTTCAGTATGTCCAGCTCCCCAGATTCTGCTGCACGGTGATATGCTGTGACGCCGCGCTCATCTCGCTGATCAACATTGCATCCTTTGTTGCATAAAAATTTAAGAACATCAACGCTGCTGAAAAGGGCCACCGTGTGTAGAGCTGATCTCCCATCTTCATCTGTTGCATTAATGTCACATTTAGCAGCTACCAGCTTCTGAACCACGTCAAGCCTCTCAGCTTCCATTAACGGGGTTCTGGAATCCGGTGTACGTTTGTCTACAAGGGCGCCAGCTTCAAGAAGAGCTGTTACACATTCAACAGAAGCATTTCTCCCAGCAGCTCTGTGAAGAGGCGTTAAGCCCTTACCATCTTCCATGTTGACATCAGCTCCTTTCCGTATCAGTATCTTCACAGTGTCGACGTTGCCGTGTTCTGCCGCTTTAGTCAGAGGAGTATATCCGTATCCTGCTGATCTATTCAGTGTTTCACGGAGCGATGGAACACCCCCTATGCTATCACCAAAGTCATCAAGAAAATTCAGCAATAATTGAGTCTTCAGACAGCTGTCTCTAACCGATGCGGCTGCTGAATCGAAACAATCTGCAATGCCTTCATAGATTCCTTCTGTAATGGTAATATGTTCAAGGATGACTCGGACACACTCACTACCGCCATAAACACACGCTGTCTGCAGACAGTCCTTCCAGTGATACCTGTCCGTATCGTCCAGAGAGTGTTTATCAAGAGCTATCTTCAGAGCTACTGGATAGGCATGTCCTGCACACCTTGAGGTCAACTGAGCTACTTTCTTCTTGTCCTGGATAGGACTGAACAGTACTTGGAATACCTCCTCAAGGCTCCCTCGTCTCTCCTCCATCCATTCTGGATAGTTATACTCCTTGTTGAATCTCATTTCACCGAACAACCCCATAAGACATCGATAGCAAAGTTCCTGGACTCCGTCCGTCGACGTGTCTATGATTTTCCTGATCAGGCCCACGTTGCCATTTAGAGACGCCAAGAAAAGCATGTCCTTTCTATCTTGGAAATCCAACGATGAAATCAAATCAAGCAATCGGGCTGATGTAGCTGCATCAACGCTTTGGGAGGCTGAAAGAGCCTTCACACACGTCTCATCCAAAACAATCCCTCTGTCTAGCAGCATGTTAATAATATCATTTTGGCTTTGGTAGTTGGCGCAAATCATTACCTCTCTCAAAACAGCTTCTGGAATATTTGGGTTTTCAACAGAACATATTTAGCCAATGAGCCTTGCTTCATCACCATGTGTGAAAGGAGAAATGTATCGTGAACACAACATGAAGATCGAGCATATTACTTATGTCTGGATAGTAAGAGATGCTAGATGCAGTCGCTTCTCTTTTCCAATGTCTTCACAAACGTCTTGTTCCAATTTTGTTTCCAGGTATGGTCGAAAAGTCTTCGATCCAAGTAACGAGGGTGATTCAGGATCTCACTTCCATCGTTTGACAGAAGGATGTTTGTAATTCTGTCAGCAAGGATCTCGAAGTATTCTTTTGTCAAGCAAATCCACAACACCCTCTTCTTCAGTCTCCTTACTTTGTGTCCTCACCAGCTCAACGAGCATTTGTGCAGGACAAATTTTGATGCACATTTCTGGGTCCTCACCAGCCAGATCAAGGAAAACTGCATCGTGTATTGACTGATGCTGGAATTCAAAACCATTTTGAGTGCTTAGGAGATAAACACCAGAGAGAGTAGCAGCTTTACTTGCGATCTGGCCATACCCTGGAGGACCTGGAATATCACAGAATGTGGACAAATCCGCTACAACGTCACTGAAGTTTCTGTCTCTTCTTGATTTCAAGAGTTTGTGGTCAAGGAACCCTTTTTGAATCATCACAAGTAATAACACAAAGTAGCTCAGTGGCTCACTTTCCTTCAAACAGTCAAGGATTTCTTTGACACAAACTTGGGGGCTGCGGAAGAAGCTGACAGCTCTTGATGCTGGAAGTTTGTTTGATGCAAAAAATGCACAACACTGGGGAAAACCAAGAGATGTCTTCATGTCTGCAATTTGTTTCATGTCTTTCTCTGATAGCCTTACCTTCCTCCCGAAATATATCTCCATGATTTTCTGTTTCTCTGAAACCCTGAGTGAGAACTCGCCGTCATCCAGAGTGACGCATTTGATCCTTTTAAACAGTTCGTGTGTCTTCATCCTCTTCTCACACTGTGCACTGATCTCTGGCCTCGAGGTCAACACCAGGAAGATGTTGCCAAGCTCTACTACAGCGTTCATGATTTTCAGCACCTTACTCCAATCATCTACCTGGGATTGAAACAGGTTGGAGGATCCAAATATATCGTCAATGAGCACCACATATTGTCCTTTAGACTTCCCCACCGGAACGTCTTTCCACTGTTGGGGAAAGGACAGTAACAAAGGTATTCTTCCTGTGTCTTTTTCAATCTGCAACAAAAGACTGAGAGCAACCCTAGATTTCCCTGTACCACTTCTTCCTTTGATGAACACACATCCAGTGTTTTTCAGATGCTTCAAAGCTGTCCTTTCTGCATAGGTTGATACATGTTTGTCAGGATCCTCACGTTTCATCAGCATTTCTGTCGCATCTGGAAATAGAATAAAAATCTTCTAAGATCGTCCTAAACAGTTTTGTTGTGACCATCTCATCCAGCGAGTTATTTTTTGCTGATGGCAATTGGATGTATTTTGGTTCACTCTGACCTTTTATCTCTAAGCACATGTGCAGCAGTGAATGTGCAGCAGCTTGAGGTCCTACAGTCTATGGTGCTGCTTCTGATGAGTCGTTGGCCAGCTTGTATCAGCTAGGCGTTGATTGGGATCCCTGGTTCGGCCCCATGATGATACTGACTGTTTATGAAGTGTAGCTGAGCACTGGCATGCAGCAATTTAACAGCGGTGTAAAACCCAAGCCACTCAAATATCCAATGAATGATGTTGTGATTTATAATATACATATACTTACCTATGATGTTCTGCAGTGGGTAGTTTGGCGTAACTGAAACATAATTAAATCAAATAATCTACTGGAGCATTGCGTCACTGTATATGTTAAAATATGGTACTTGTTGGTCCCTGCCTGGTGCTCGGCATTAATGGGTACAACAAGGACTGGTCGGCTCGGCGTCAGTATAATGTGTCTGAGTGGGGTATTCATGCTTCACTTCGGCATGGTATCTCAGTGGGCTAGCACTATAAAACCAGTTTAAGTCTGGGCTAGTACAAGCAGCCGCACATACACATACACACGCATGCACGTCGTCATATGAGCGAAATATTCTCAAGCACGACGTAAAACCCAATTTCACCTCACCTCACCTCACCTCACATTGCAACATTAGAGTTAGTGAGTGTAACGCTGGGTTTAACGCCCTTCTCAAGGACATTTATGCAATATCAGGGAAGCCCCCCACAGGCATCAGCGAATGCTGTTCTGGCATACGGAGGATCATTATCAACATCCTGTCGGGACGCAACTCGTAATGGCGAAGTAGCAATCCATCAACCATTGAACATTAGGTTTAGGCTTTCACGTTATAATTTCTATCTGCAATGAACAGAATGATTTACGCTTGACCATAATCCCGAGTTTACACATAAAAACAAACGCGAATGCACTCAATGCAGTATTCAAAGGATCAGTACTTGAGATGAGTGCGAGAAGCGTGGTGAAAAGGAGAGAACTCTGACATTACCACTGATCGTCTGCTGCACTGTGACAGACGAGTCTTGGATGTTGTAAATGGATTTGCCATCAGAGAAGACCGCCGGCGAGTGGAGCTGTATGTTGTTAACTGGAACATCAAAGGTTGTAAGCAAACAAATGGTATTTATAATACTCAATCTTGTGAATAAAGTATTTAAATAAATGTAGTCTCTATACCCTCGGACTTATTGTGACGCCATATGGCTGAAATAATGCCGATGCAACGTAACATTTTAACTCACTCACCACTCACTCACTCTGACTCCCGTCTCCCCGACTATCTCACTCCCCTCGCCCCGTCTATCTAACTCCCGGCTCCCCGATTATCTGACTCCTAGTCCCGTCTATCGGACGCCCTCGCCCCGTCAATTTGACTCAACTCGCCCCGTCTATCTGACTCCCATCTCCCCGTCTATCTGACGCCCCTCGCCCCGTGTATCTGACTCATCTCGCCCCGTATATCTGACTCCCTTCGCCCTGTCTATATGACACCCTCGCCCTGTCTATCTGACTCCCCTCGTCCATCCTATCTCACCCCCTCATCCCGTCTATCTGACGCCCCTCGTCCCGTCCCGACTCCAATCGCCCCGACAAACTGAAGCTACTCGCCCCGACAAAATGACTCCCTTCGCTCCGACCACCTGACTCCCCTCGCCCCGACAAAATGACACCCCTCGCCCTGTCTATCTGACTCCCTCGTCCATCCTATCTCACTCCCTCGTCCCGTCTATATGACTCTCCTCGCCCCGACTGACTCCCTCGCTCCTACAAACTGAAGCTACTCGCCCCGTCCATCTGCAAACCGAAACATGAGTCTCATTAACCTGTTCAGACAATGACCTACTTTTCCGCCGATCCGAATTTTCTCGTGTGAAAGTGAAAATAGACATCACAAACAACTATGGTTACACTGATCTCCAATTCGTTGTTTCATAAGAAAGTGGTATTTACAAATGAATAACCTCGTATTTCTATATTTTATGGCGAGGTGTAGGCAGCATGACATTAACTAAGACGTCACAGACTGCCCCAGTTTGATGAGGTCGTAAAATAATCCACAATGCATCTGGCCCATTGGTTACACCTGTTATGTGTTTCGTGCACCTATTCAGTGTAGTTCTGTATCGCACAATGTGATTGATAGAATATCAAGTCCGTACAAGATCGCCAAACTTTTCAGCAGAGCCTCGTTTTGAGATTTCCACGATTTCCAGGCTTCTGTTTGTCAGTGCTCGTTATACGACAGTGCACGCTGCACTGCATGTTTGCAAGGATTATAAAGAGCGTAGCGTTACAATATACAAGTGCTAAGAAAGTATCAAATAATCCTGATTAATATTTATGTATCCAGTTAAATGAATGGGTCTCAAAATTCAGGACTGTTATTGTACTAAGTTGCGCAATAGGATGGAACCCAGTCAACAGGAAACGAGACTGTTGTGGAATCAATGTTTGACTTTCACCCTCGCTTCGTTCACACAACCCCACCTACCTGACCCACCAGTCCCATCCACCTGACTCCCCTCAGATAATGCTTCTGCTAGGGCAGGTACGACTTACCCGGATACCCGGGACGGGTGTGGTAATGAATTGAACCCGGTACCCGTCTCAACACACGGACCCGTTATATTCACGTGACTAATAGATTAAACAACGTAATATGTTATTCTTTCATGATTAAAAGGTTGTATTGTCTTTGAAGATTTAGACATAATTACAGTCACTTCTTTTGAATATAATACCTGGTTAAGAATAGAAAAACTCGAAATTTTAGCCTCGGAGCTGAAGAATATATAGCCATTTCTTGCAAATTTGATGTCAGGAATTAACATAATGGGTAACCGGGTAGGGCAGGGTAATAGGGATGGGAACCCAGATAGAAAATTTGGACTCGTCCTAGCCCCAGCTCCTACCACTAACACTGCCCTCTACATCCACGAGGGCAGTGGGGTAGCCTAGTGGTTAAAGCGTTGGCTCGTCACGACGAAGACCCAGGTTCGAATCCCCACGTGGGTACAATGTGTGTAGCCCATTTCTGGTGTTCCCCGCCTTGATGTTGGAATATTGCTAAAAGCGTCGTAAAACCAAACTCAGTCAGTCAGTCCACATCCACGAACACCTGTCTCTCCATACTATAATCATCGCTACCTTCCTCCCCTCTTCGCTGACAATGGTATTCCCCTCGCCCCTTCATTTCCGGGGAAATGTTCCCAAACAACCGTAACTTGATCCTAATAATTACAATGTGTCTAGAGCAAAAATACTGGTCCCAAACAACTTCAGACATTCTTCTTGTTATGTACACTCGGCCATAACCCAACCCCACAGCCGTGATCTCGGAACGGCTGTGACCCAGCCCCACCACCTCTCAGCGATCTCGACTGAAACTCAAATATATCCACAACTGACCTGAATCCGCACTGCGTGTGGTCACAGCGGACAGCTGACCTACAGGGACAGTACCAGCCTCAACCATCGCCATAACACCTGACTTTGTACCCGCCGACATATCTGACTGGCTGTGGGAACGTCGTCAGTTCACTGGAAATACCGATCTTTCTGTTTCACTGCCCGTCTGCCACAGACGGCCATATGGGCGCAATTTTACAAAAATTGGCGCCCGCGGCCGTCTGCCACAGACGCCATGGGCGCAATAACAAAACCCGCGTAGCAACGACTGATAAGGCCCTGTCGAAACAGTTTTGTTTTCGAAAGCTATTTTACAGTTTTGAGAGGGAAATATTTTGGTTACAAATTTAGAACTTTTGTTCTGCGGATCGAAAGTATACATGGAGACGTCTATCGATAATCACAACAGGTTGAACTCCGATTCTGACATTGGGGAATCTGCTGCGAAAACGAATATGTGAGTAGTGGAAGAAATAAAAACAAATAAGTGGGGGTAGCCTAGTGGGCAAAGTGTCCGCTCGTCACGCTGGAGACCCGGGCTCGTTCCCCCCGCGTCCCCGCCCTTGTTATTGCTGGAATATTGCTAAAAGCGGCGTCTGTCTCACTCACTCACTCCTGGAACGAACTAGAAACAAGCTGTTCATCTGAATATGCCTAGGTTGTGGCGACACAACTACAACTGAAACTGCACTTCGAGTAGATTCCGGGGCAAAGTCCCTGGCTTCACGTGATGCAGTACCAGCAAGCGGACATGTGGATGTGTCCTGCATGGCCTGTCCGCGAGTGTATCTTCGTACCTACATGGCATGCCGGTTGCTCATGAGATCTAAAACTAGTTTGTTTGACCCAAGTTCGAATCTTAACAGTTGTCGCGACATCGGTGGACTAATTATGATAACGATGATGATGATTACGATGATGTGGCTTTTGGTGTTGTTGTTGATGCTGCTGCTGCTGCTGCTGATGGTGATGACGACAAAAAAAAAAGAAAAGAAAAGAAATGGTTTTACGCCGTTTTTGCAGGATTTAGTCAATATTCCTACATGTTTTCTTACATAGAAAAGACCATTATGTTACTTCACATTGAACTGATAATTTAAGCTTTTTCAACGTGAATGCAGGATATGTACTTCACTGCTCCTAAAAAAGAATGACGTTCATTTCTTTTGTTTACTTTTTCTGACAAAGTAATATTACGATAATTTGAGCAGATGCTCAATTTGGAAAATGTTGGAGTACATTTCGAACGTGTGTCATGGTGATGAGCCTGTATCTGTCTACGTTCTAAAATCAATCTCCTCTGGTACTTTGCCTCTGATTTTTCAACAGATATAATATTATGGCTTTTGTTCAATTGCGCAGTTATGATAAGCACGCAACGAAAGTAGCCACGCTCGTTTTGTTAAAACTGCGCCAGTATCATGCCACTTTGTTGTCGCTGTGAACACATGCGTATGATATATTGGATATTGTGTTATCAATGACAGTATAAAAATACCACAGTTTAATTACACCTGTTTCGATTTTGGAGGTCACCCGTACTAAATATTTGGCACTTGAGTGTTTGAAGATCATTTAAGCCACAATCCGGAAAAAACCCAACCAGTGAATATACGATGGTGGCTGGTCATGAATGCAAAGTCACGATTATCAGATTCTGTTCCGTGTGCAGGAGATGTTTCTAGAAATAAACTAGTTTCAGAAACAGAAAGAAAAGAATATTTCCCTTCCAACATTGGACATAAACCTTTGCGTGTGTGAAGTCATTCACACAATGTATATATCGACAGAACGTAGCCAGTCATGTACCAATACTGCTTAGAAAGTACTGAAAACTAAATGGTACATATGGCCTATAATCACTGATTGAGGCACTAAACATTAGGGGTGGGTATTGCAGAGAATTTTCATATTGCGATATATTGCGATGCTGAAACATATATTGCGATATGTATTCCAATATATCGCAAGGATTATTTTTTTAACAAAAACTACTTATAATCGAGTTAATGCTTGATTATAAGCAAAAACCACAACAAAATCACTATGATTGATTAACCGTTTATGAAAACTTTTAATCATGACAAAAGAAAAATTTAATTAACATTTGGCACTAATGAAACAGGGAAAAGAACAATTCAAAAAACGGAAATATCCGAAGATTTCCGAGTGTTACGAAGTTTTCCGAATGCATGTCAAAATACCGGTTTTCGATCAGGGTATCGCAATACGTATCGTTTTCATGTCTGAACCGGTAAATACCGGTAAACCGGTTATATTGGGCAGCCCTACTAAACATGATTCATTCCAATATATTCACACTGTATATGCCTTTCTAAATGGTGTAATCTGAGAAAATGTAAAAAGGGTGAAGCATATTGAGATTTGAAGTCTTATTAACAACTGACACATCCATCCGAGCAGACCTATCGAGGATCTCAAGTAGAGAACGTATTGCTTATTGAGTCAGTGGGTTAGGACACATGGCGTTCCTCGCTAGTAACGCCGACGACAACCGGGTTCGAACCCGCTACTATAAAGCCCATTTCTGTTTTCCCTGCCGTGGTAATGCTGATATATTGTTAAAAGTGGTACCCCTCTCACAAACATATAAGATAATCCTTAATTCCAAATATTTCCTGTTCACCAATTTATGAAGGCTTCCTACATTCCGACTCTGCTCGCCACATTAATCAGGTGAGGATATTTAAGTTTTAGGACATGTAACTCATAACGTCCCCGATCCGATGCTGCTCGTGCTTGAAGACTTAATCTTCCTCAAAATCAGAGATCTCTTTACAATGTACCACATCAAAAAGAAGAGCGCCGAGGTGGTCGAGGGCTGGTTTTAACTTTGTGTTTATAATGATTTGTATGTTTGTCTGTTGCCTACAGCCGTACACAGAAATATTCCACCTATTCATTTTAACACTTCATATTTACCCGTTTTCACGAGAGGTTCAGTGGTCATTTAATAAACTTTCAGGACAAAAAAGGGGAGAGGGGTGCGCACCCTGCACATATATTCTGTCTGGACCAGACAATCAAGTGATTGACAGCATGAACATCGATCTACGCAACTGGAATACGGTGACATGTGTCAACCAAGTCAGCGAACCCGACAACCCGATCCCGTTGGTCGTCTCTTAGTGAGCCCCCCGTGAAGATCCGGGTTAGAGGTGAGGTGAGGTGAGGTGAGGTGAGGTGAGGTGAGGTGAGGTGAAATTGGGTTTAACGTCGTACTTGAGAATATTTCGCTCATATGACGACGTGCATGTGCGTGTATGTGTATGTGCGGCTGCTTGTACTAGCCCAGACTTAAGCTGGTTTTATAGTGCTAGCCCACTGAGATACCATGCCGAAGTGAAGCATGAATACCCCACTCAGACACATTATACTGACTCCGAGCCGACTAGTCCTTGTTGTACCCATTAATGCCGAGCGCCAGGCAGGGACCAACAAGTACCATATTTTAACGTCTTTTGGTATGACGCGGTCGGGGATCGAACCCGCGACCTTCCGCTCTCCGGGCGGACGCTCTAACCACTACACCACGGAGGCGGTCCCGGGTTAGAATTGATCTTCAGTAACCGGCCATGCTTTTCGTAAGAGGCGACTAACGGGATCGGGTGGTCAGGCTCGCTGACTTGGTTGGCACATATCATAGGTTCCCAGTTGCGCAGATCGATGCTCATGCTGTTGATCACTGGATTGATTGACTTGATTATTTACAGACCGCTGCCATATAGCTGGAATATTGCTGAGTGCGGCGTAAAACTAAACTCACTCACTCACTCTTAGTGAGTCTGCTGAAGAACAATTCTGTATATGTGATGTGAATTGCTTTTTTTGACTCGAATATTTACAGACAAACGTTATATATATGGAATATTGCTGTGTGCTGCGTCAAACAAAAACCACCCAACAAACAAACAAACAAACAAAAGCATTAATTTTGCTCACACTGACCTTTTGACGGAAGTAACGAGTGGTTTGACAAAGCAGATCAGATTGAATCGGGGGCCCTTCTAGACACCAGGTGGAACTTGACGAAATCCCTCGATTTCCCCGCCCATGACCACCTGGTGTCCTTCATAAAGAACGAGACCCGTGAAGATCAGGGTTAGAATTGGTCTTCAGTGAATGAGTATGGTTTTACGCCGCGTTCAGCAATATTTCAGCAATATCACGACGGGGGACACCAGAAATGGGCTTAACACATTGTACCCATGTGGGGAATTGAACCCGGGTCTTCGGTGTGACGAGCGAACGTTTTAACCACTAGGCTACCCCACCGCCCCTAGGACGATTGTGGCAAACGACATATGATGTTTCATTATACAAAGCTGTGTGTTTACAACTGATAGTAAATAAAACCTTTCCTTGTATAGAAGCCTATCTAAGTTTGTTTACTTTATGTCTTTCCGCTGTAACGTAATAGATCCTTGTGTTGTTAGTACGGTTCGATTTCCTTGTTTCTTTCTTATCTGTTTGACTAACTGACACTTTGAATTCAACAGCTTGTACTGAATACTGTTTGAAAAAAAACCCACTGCAATATTACACGGCTAGAGTGGGCGCGATTCTAACAAAACGAGCGTTACCACGGTCTTATTTTTTAGCCCCATTTTGTTCCAGTCAGTTCCGTAAAATCTGAATTCAGTTCCGTTTTGGTAGCAGGGAAATTCGAAAGTAGTTGTTAAAAGAAATCCGCCCCATAGTGGTATGGTATGCTGCTGGTATGGTATAGTATGCTGCTGGTATGGTATGGTATGGTATAGTATGGTATGCTGTAACTGGTAATGGAGGTAAGCAAAGAATCATGTCATTTATCCACTTATAGGTACTGCATCTGCGAAACACACATTTGTCCTATATGAGATTGATTGATTGAATGAATGATAGATTCATTGATGGATGGATTGATTGATTGTGTGTGTGAGGTTTTACACCCGTCTTAGCAGCAATATTCCAGCAATATAACGACGGACGGGGGACGCAAAAATGACTTCACACATTGTACCCAGATAGGGAATTGAACCAGGTTAAACCGCCACCATGATGCAGGTTTATCGCAGTTTTGGACAATTTCCAGCTATGAGGGGTGCCAACTTGATGGGGCAGGGAACCCCGGAGTGATGCAGTTCTCACAGGTTTATCACAAGAGCAAGGGAAATGTGAGAAATCTACAAGCAAAATCGGCGCCACGACTGTAGATTTCCGGTGCGTAGACTATGTAGTAATGAAAATTATATATCCACCATTGAAAATCAGCTCATGATCATGCAGATGACGTCAAATGTTGTTCTTAATCACTCAGGTATATGCCAGTCAGGTGTTGGAAATATATGTTTTTGAGGCAAACATGTGATTGATAGTATGAACATCGACCTACGTACACTCAGGTTATGATGACACATTACTAAGTCACTTATTGTGATCCCCCAATCCTCAGTTTCGCCTGTTGTCGAATTCACTTGATATTCACTAAGAATAGCAAAAATAGATGCTCCGTATGTTTTGTCAAAACTGCGCGCTGTACCTCGTACCGAGCAGGTGTCACACAAAGCCTAGCGCATCTGAACTGTGTACCTAGCAGACAAGAGCTATGGAGCTGGTTGCCACTTCGTCGGGTTGTTCAACTGTCAAGAAAATGCGGGCAGATTCAGGTCATATGTGTTGATATTTCTTGAAATATGCCGTTAGCCATTTTAGCTTGTATTTTGAGTATTTGTGCGTTCGAGTCCGGCCAATATGTGTTCAGGCATGCTCAGACGTGAACTGGCTGACTTCCGGTCATCGTGACATCTAGTGAGATAAACATATGCAGACGCATTGACATGCTGGCTGACTGACTGACTGAGTTTTGTTTTTACGCCGCTTTTAGCAATATTCCAGCAACATCACGGCGGGGAACACCAGAAATGGGCTTCACACATTGTGCCCATGAGGGATTCGAACCCGGGTCTTCGGCGTGACGAGCCAACGCTTTAACCATAAGGCTACCCCACCGCCCCTTGACATGCTGGCATCCAGACAACCTGTAATATAGACATATTGGCATCTAGACATACTGATGTCCAGATATTTTTACCTCGGGGCGGTGGGGTAGCCTAGTGATTAAAGGGGTCACTCGTCACGCCGAAGGCGCGGGTTCGATTCCCCATATGAGTACAATGTGTGAAGCCGATTTCTGGTGTTCTCCGCTGCGATATTGCTGGAATATGTTAACAGCGGTGTAAAACTAAACTCGCTCCCTATTCCGACCACCGGCCACGCTGACATCTTGCCACACCTATATACCTCTAGCTATGCTGGAATCAAGCCAAACTGATCTCTACCCATGTTGGCATATACCCATAGCGAAGAAGCATATTCTGACCCTGAATATCCAGACAACCAAATATACCACCAGACACACTGAAAATATATTAGCTGAAATTCAGTCTGTCCTGAGCGCTGCATGTCAATGGTTGGATCCTTTGGTCGCGTCTTTCCGAAAGATGATCAAAGATGGTGTTTATTGTCACTGTGGCGGGCATCGTAGAATATTCTTCATATATAGAACATGTTCAGAAATGACAACATGCTACTGAAATGACAACACGCTTTTGACATGCTGACGACATGTTACTGAAATGACAACAAGCTGTTGACATGCTGACAACATGCTACTGAAATGACAGCATACTACTGACATGGCAACATGCTATTGACATGACAACATGCTATTGATATGACAACATGCTACATGAAATGGCAACATGCTACTGAGAAGGCAACATACAATTGACATGCTGACAACATGCTATTGACATGCCAACATGCTATTGACATGCTGACAACATGCTACTGAGTGGGTGACAGTATGTTGACAACATGTTAAACACAGGTTAGGAATAACGATAACAACATGCACCTGACCTGTTAACTCTTGACTCTTAACGACATTAAATGACATGCTAACGACATGCTTATGACAATACCGTGTCTCGGAGAAGGTAACGACATGTTTACAACCTGCGACACACTAACCGTTTAGACATGCTGAAGCAGCATAATCATGATATCCTTACTTTCCAGCCAACAACCTTCAAGTGGAGGCCCCCCGTTGTTTTGTCTGACGGTCAAAACGTTTACAACATCCAGGATTCCACCGTCACCTTCCAGGAAACAAAATGTGGTAATTCCCAAACTGTCTATGGATACATTTCTCATAATATTCTCATATTCCTTGCCATAAATAGTTAAGCCATCGATAGTGACAAAAATCCAATTAATATTCCATCAAACTGTAGAAAACATGAAGAACCTGAAAGTACTTCAGAAAGGGTTTATTTAATGTAAATTATATACACATTGTACAATGGATTATATGTATTCATTCCAGAAACACCAAACTACCCTTTACAGAACATCATAGGTAAGTGTAACTAATGAGTGAATGAGGGGTTAGTGAGTGAGTGAGTTTAGTTTTACGCCGCACTCCGCAATAGTCCCGCTATATGGCGGCGGTCTGTAAATAATCGAGACAATCCAGTGATCAACAGCATGAGCATCAATGTGCGCAACTGGGAACCGATGACATGTGTCAACCAAGTAACCCGATCCCGTTAGTCTCCTCTTACGAAAAGCATGGGTTATTGAAGATCAATATTCTAACCCGGACCTTCACGGGTGGAGTGTATGAGTGGGCTTTTACATGGTCTAATTAATACTCCATAATTATCACGGAAAGGGGGGGGGGGGGGTGTCACCAGATATTGACTTCATACATTGATCCCATTTGCGACATTGACCGTAATGACAGAGGTAGAGACAGCATCGTCATAGCATCGAGCGATATTACCTACTCAACACTGCCTACTTAGGCTGTTATTTGCGTGAACAATACGGTGAAAAGAAATAGAATTTCATTGGTTTATGGTACAACATATTTCAAGTGACCGTCAAGGTTGAAACTGATGTATCTGAAGCTGAAAATGGACGTTAAATACAATACGACAATAAGGCACTGCAACTTCATTGCCAAAACAAAGTGGTAATTGCACGAAGTAAAATTGTCGTTCACAGTATTTTCCTTATTGCAGTACTGATTTGGCGTCCATTTTCATGGTCATACCACGGTTTTAATTCGTGTCAGCCATGTAGGATCTGGCGTCCACATTACATACCTTGTTATAAGTTGTATGCTTCTCTCGAGGGTAATACGGTCTGATGTACGCCTTTTGTAGCAGTGTCATCCCTCGCCGTTCGATGTACGCCTCTTTGTAGCAGTGTCACCAGAGCCGGTAGGCGAGGGATGACGCTGCTACAAAAAGGCGTACATCAGACCGTATTACCCGAGGGAGAAGCATACAACGTATTTATCTTACCGCCATGTTAAATGTACAAAACATCATTTTATTTGATGTTAAAGATCGCGACCGACTGTATGACATGCAAACAAAATGGCGTCTGCCTCTCGACTGAATTTTTAGAATCAGTGAAACATATTCTGACAAGCATAACACCGCTATAAAAATTGTTAATTATGTTTAAGCTGAGTGTGCAAACCACTCAATGTATAAAATAGCTTAAATAAAGCAGTGAAAGTCGGTAAAATAAATGTGTACAAAGTGAACACAAAAACAGCTGATCGAACGGTTTTCGAACTCCGGGCATGGCATGCATCATATTATGACGTCATACGATTGTTAGCGCTTCCGCTTCTCGGCGGAGAGTTTGCCGGTTACCGTGGCAGCGGGTAATATTTTTTCCAGTTGTCACCTTCCTGGGAGGGGTGACACGGAAACCGGTTAAAGCGTCTTTGACCAATGAAATTAAAGTATTTTACATGAAGGTAAGATAAGAGACAGTGTTATATGTTGTGCAACAGTGTTACAGCTGTTATGCATTGTATCTGTGGATTAAGTATGGGGCTGTTGTGTGCTTGTATAGACTTGTGATATATTTAGACAATTCTAGAAGCTTCCGTCATATTCTGACCCACAGAATGTTATAGAATGATCTGGAAAGGGATGTATAGGCCTGAGTCCAGAATCATCTGCCTGAAAGAGGTATATAAGGGGAGCTAGCTATCTTAAGCCATAGAAGACCACCATTTTGTGTGATCACTCTATACTCTGGGCCACTCTCTGTGTAGCCCTTTCTTTCAAGCTGAATAACTGTTGCTGAGAGGGAATATTAACCTCATTGTCTTTATGGCTATAATCACTGTTATTTTATTTTATTAAGTTTATTACCTTTGTAATTGTACTTTACATATTGATACCTGTATCTTAATTTGTATTGATTTGTTGATTTAGTTATTTTATTTGTTGTTTGTTGGTTTAAAACCCAGTTCTTCTCCTTTTTTTTTTTTTTTTTTTAAAAATTCAGATTTTAATCACATCAAACATAAAAAAGACTTTTTAAAAAAATATTTTTATTCATTTCAGATAGGTATACAAAGACAGCGAGTACACGACTCAGTTTTTCTACTTAATATTAACTTTCAGTTTGGCAATCAAAACGTAACAACAGTCTTTAGCCAGGTATTCATATATGTATCCCTACTGTTACATAACTAGCATGACAAGTTTGGTGAAAATCTTTTTCAGGATTGCATCAATAATAATGTCTGTGCAAAGGAATATCCTGTCTCGACTATCCTTAGAAATAGAAGGAAATATCTAAACTAGATCATACACCAAACTCCACACATCCAGTCATTTTAGACAACTCAAAATTGTGTATTTTGAGCATTTCTGGCGTCCATCCTGGATTTGACCGCCATATTAGAAACATATTGGAGATAAATTATCTTAAAACAGAAGTATTATAATAATACTCAACATTTTTTCGATAATAGCTGCAGCAGACTCCAGTCCTACAAAGGCGGTCATTTGACCCTAAAACCCAAACTAATCACTAAATATAAATATTGTATTGTTCCAACTTTCATGCTTTTAGCTCAAAGTGCTCAGTTGTGCTCTATATTGAAACTTAGCCGCTGCCCTTATAATATTTGGAGATATTAAGGTGGTGGTTGTGAGATTGCGATATATCATAGATTACTGAAGGAGAGCCTTAACGGCTTTGACATTCTACAACAACCAGGTGATGATATATTATCAGTAGTTTAGGAGTGCATTCTTAATTTCCGGCTGAGGACGTTAGTCAGTGGACTTTCAGTCTCAGTTTCATGGTGCAATGTGGGCGAGGTTTCAGTAACCCGAAGTAAGGCCAATATCCCGGAATATAACGTCTATCTGTCAGTATCAACGTGAAAGTACAATGTGACAGTGCATAAGGTATGTGTTTTCCCACACAGGAAGAAATGTCATTGCACATGGCAAACACACACAAAACACACACAACCCCCCACCCACCCCCTCTCAATGAACATTGATGACTTCAACACTAACTAATGGAATCGGGTAGTCAGCCTCGTTCACTTGGTTGACACATGTCGTATCACAGTTGAGTAGAGTGATGCTCATGCTGTCGATCACTGGATTGTCTCTTCGAGACTTGATTATTTACAAAATGATTTTAAATGTCTGAAGAACAAATGTCTGTTTACCACGACAGATCACAAAAGAAAAATCTTCAACTATAATCTTCTCGATTTGATCATGAAAGCTTCCTTAGATGCATGCCATTGCATTTTAACATCTTCTTTGCTTCTATTTCCAGATGCGACAGAAATGCTGATGAAACGTGAGGATCCTGACAAACATGTATCAACCTATGCAGAAAGGACAGCCTGGAAGCATCTGAAAAACACTGGATGTGTGTTCATCAAAGGAAGAAGTGGTACAGGGAAATCTAGGGTTGCTCTCAGTCTTTTGTCGCAGATCGAAAAAGACACAGGAAGAATACCTTTGTTATTGTCCTTTCCCCAACAGTGGAAAGACGTTCCAGTGGGTAAGTGTAAAGGACAATATGTCGTGCTCATTGACGATATATTTGGATCCTCCAACCTGTTTCAATCCCAGGTAGATGATTGGAGTAAGGTGCTGAAAATCATGAACGCTGTAGTAGAGCTTGGCAACATCTTCCTGGTGTTGACCTCGAGGCCAGAGATCAGTGCACAGTGTGAGAAGAGGATGAAGACACACGAACTGTTTAAAAGGATCAAATGCGTCACTCTGGATGACGGCGAGTTTTCACTCAGGGTTTCAGAGAAACAGAAAATCATGGAGAAATATTTCGGGAGGAAGGTAAGGCTATCAGAGGAAGACATGAAACAAATTGCAGAGATGAAGACATCTCTTGGTTTTCCCCAGTGTTGTACATTTTTTTGCATCAAGCAAACTTCCAGCATCAAGAGCTGTCAGCTTCTTCCGCAGCCCCCAAGTTTGTGTCAAAGAAATTCTTGACTGTTTGAAGGAAAGTGAGCCACTGAGCTACTTTGTGTTATTACTGGTGATGATTCAAAAAGGGTTCCTTGACCACAAACTCTTGAAATCAAGAACAGATAGAAACTTCAGTGACGTTGTAGCAGATTTGTCCACATTCTGTGATATTCCAGGTCCTCCAGGGTATGGCCAGATTGCAAGTAAAGCTGCTACTCTCTCTGGTGTATATCTCCTGAGCACACAAAATGGTTTTGAATTCCAGCATCAGTCAATATACGATGCAGTTTTCCTTGATCTGGCTGGGGAGGACCCAGAAATGTGCATCAAAATTTGTCCTGCACAGATGCTCGTTGAGCTGGTGAGGACACAAAGTAAGGAGACTGAAGAAGAGGGTGTTGTGATTCGCTTGACAAAAGAATACTTTAAGAATCTTGCTGACAGAATTACAAACATCCTTCTGTCAGAAGACGGGAGTGAGATCCTGAATCACCCCCTCGTTACTTGACGAAGACTTTCGACCATACCTGGAAACAAAATTGGAGCAAAGCGTATGCGAAGACATTGGTAAAAGAGAAGTGAGTTCTTCAAGCATCACATACTACCCTGACATTAGTAATGTGCTCGATCCTCATGTTGTGTTCACTTATACATTTCTCCTTTCACACGTTGGGATGAAGCAAGGCGCGCTGGCCAAATACATTCTATTGCAAAGTTCAAACATTCCAAATGCTGCTTTGAAAGAATTTATGATTTGTGCTATCTACCAAAGTCACAATGACGTCATTAACTTGCTGCTGGACAGAGGGGTTATTCCGGGATGAAACTTGTGTGAAGGCATTTTCAGCCTCCCAAAGCATTGATGAAGCAACATCGTCTCGATTGCTTGATTTGATATCAACCGCTTTGGAACGATTCCAAGAAAGAGAAGATGTCCTGTTCTTGGCGTCTCTGAATGGAAACGTCGAATTGGTTCGGAGAATCATAGACGCATCTGGAGATGGAAGTCACGACCTTTGCTCCCGTGGTCTTTCTGCTTTGTTCAAGGAGATGGCAAATAATCCAGAATATAACAATGTTGAGTGGATGCAGAGGAGACGCCAGAGCCTCGAGGAAATACTCCAGTTGCTGTTAACACATCCCAGAGATGGAGGAAGTAGCTCACCTGGTTTATAAATGTGCGGGACACGTATGTCCAGTAGCTATGAAGATGCTGCTAGAGAAATGCACATCTCACAATGTTGATGTCCACAACTTAAAGGACTGTCTGCAGATAGCATGCGAGGCCGGAGGTGGCGAGTGTGTACGCATCATCTTGGAACATCTGACCGTTACAGAGGGCACGTATGACAACATTGCAGACTGCATATGTCTATCTGCACAATCAGTCACAGACAGCTGCCTAAAAATTCAGTTGTTGATGAATTATATTGATACGTTTTGTGCAAACATTGGAAATGTTCCATCACACAGCCAAACACTGAATAGGATATTTGGCGTATTTACACCACTGACTAGAGCGTGCGAACACGGTAACCTCGACACTGTGAAGATTCTGATACAGAAAGGAGCTGATGTCAATCTGGAAGATGGTAGAGGTTCTACACCGCTTCATACTGCTGTGGGTTTGGACAATTTAGCCTGTGTTACAGCTCTTCTTGAAGGTGGAGCCCTTGTAAACAAACGTGTACCAGGTTTGCAGCCTGTCCTATTTGCTGCAAACAGGCTTGACGTGGTTCAGAAGCTGGTAGCTGCTAAATGTGACATTAAGGCAACAGATGAAGATGGAAGATCAGCTCTACACACAGTGGCCGGATTTAACAACTTTGATTTTCTTAAATTTTTATGCAACAAAGGATGCAATGTTGATCAGAAAGATGAGTATGGCCTCACAGCGTATCACGTGGCAGCAGAGTATGGGGATCTGGATATACTGAAATATCTGCATAAAATGCATGCTAAGCCGACAGTTGATGTTGACGGATTGTCAGTGCTTCACTACGCTTGCTGTTCCGTCAATGAAACAATGGAAAAGGTGCAGTTCCTGGTGGACACTGTGAAGGTCCCACTTGATACAAGAGATGAGGATGGAAGAACGGCGCTGTATCCGGCAGTGCAGACAGCAGGGTTGGAAGTGGTGGAGTTCCTGGTAGAAAGGGGGCTGAGTATAAGGGACAGGGACAAGGATGGCAACACCTATCTACATGCAGTATTTCTAAGGTATGAGAAGTCCACCCATGATGAACTGGTGACGTTCCTTTTCAAGGCCAACTTGGATCCAGACTTGTACAACACACGTGATGGAAGAACACCACTGCATCTGGCATTAGATTCAGGACTGTGGTATTTCTTTGAAGACCATTTGGTGACTTTGATTGACAGAACTTCCAATATCAATCACAAAGATTCCGAAGGAAGGACGCCTCTTCATATGGCAGCATACCGTGACGCCAGTTGGGTTGTGAAGCGACTCCTTGACAAAGGAGCTGACAGAGAGATAAAGGATTCAGAAGGATGTAAAGCTATTGATTTGGTGCCTGAAGATGGAAGTGGCGAGACGATGAAGGCTCTTTTGTCCACATCTGAGTTACCTGCTCGTGAAATTGTATATCTCAGGCAGGGTCTGTCAACGGAAGACTAGGGGCGGTGGCGTAGCCTTTTGTGTCCTGAAATACCGACTCCTGAAATTATACACAGCAAACAGGGTGCGTCTCCAGAAGTTACAGCAAGCTACGGTTATAACGAACCTAAGTGATCACGTATTCTAGTTCGATATAACCGTAGTTTCTTGTACGCAGTTTCCCGGTTGTTGTAGCCGTACTGCACTGTACTTTGAAAAGCATCAAAGAGATTCACACTTGTGCAACGCTACAAAATGGGGACAGAAAAATATATCATCAGACTTTTGTCAATTCAGCCAGTGAACATTTGACATTTGTAGCTTGACAACAGAAATGAAATGTTAACTTTCATTAAGGGACAAGCATACGCAAGCAATGTATTCATAACTTCTTTCTAATAGTGATGCTAGTTTCAAGTGCACGATACAAATTCGAAAATGGACTTACTGGTCCAAGTCGAAATCGACTAAACCGAACCGAGTGTAGATTAAACATTGTTTGCAGACTGCCAAGGCATTTTCTACGCACATACACGTGTCCTCGCCACCAGAGAGAACAGCCAGGAACATACTTGTTCAGTCGTATCCTGGTTTATTACCCACGTGGTCAACGTATGGGTAGTTGCATACTTATCTCGTACGTCACACGATTGCCGTATCGCGTTGACCTGTGTCGTAACGACTTGACCTGAGATTCTAACGATTTGATAGGATAACCGATGACCTCTCAATTAGGTCACAATCTGACGTAACTACTTTTTCATTCATAACAAACACGTGAATTCATTCTATCTACAACTTAAATGCATTGTGGGAATGTAAACATTGCGAGCATTTGCCGTGTCGCTGTTTAATTGTGAGTCGAAATGAGACATTATATCCGTCGAAAAACATAAACGCAATGTTTCCACCAGTGATGTTAGCCAAGTGAAGCAGTTGCAAACCAAGAAACGGGGTGCTACGGAGTAGTTTACTGTAGGAGGCTGTACGAGGCGATGACAACTGACATTCATAGTGACGTCGGTTACCAAGGCAGTGACGTCATTACAGTGTGACATCATGCAAATACTGTACTACAGTACAAAACTCTTCCGCAACCTCTTTATGAAACCGGTTTCGGTTTGAAAACATAAAAATAACAGAAAATACGCTATGTTTTCAATTTAATGCATGTACGACGTGGGTAATAAAAAAAATACCACACTCGGTCTCATTACATACGAATTATACGAAACTCGTGATCTTCCTATGGTATCGACCTCGCTTTCGCTCGGTCAGATACCATAGGAAAGGACACTCGTTTCGTATAATTCGTATGTAATGAGACCTCGTGTAGTATCCTTTATATCTCGAACAGTTTTGGGCCGAGTTGTAGCTTAGAGATATCCTGGAGATATCCTGGCATCCAAAATACCTGAACAGCTGCCTTCCCTGAAGCTACTCCTCGGTTTTTCACTGAATATCTTCTCGGACTATCACCTTTCTCGAACAATCACCTTTCTCGAACATTTTGTAATATTATGTTACGTCCGAGGTTCATTAAGTCAAAAACAGCTTGTCACACTCGCCTCAATCGTGTTAATTCACTTCTTGGATATAGTGAGTAGCGTCATTAGGTTTTGATATTGAACGTTCAAAGTCAAATCAAGTTACAGATATCAAGATATTTCGATCTGGAATTCGAGATAAACGGTCACATTTTCAGTCCATGTAGTTATATTGTGAAGCGGGAATGGTTACGAGACCCCGAATTTCAAGAGTTGAAATTACATTTTTATCGTGCGGTCCCAGAGTATGGAACTTCCTTGCGCAGGAAAAATCTTAGGGTTTATGTCATCTGAAGTGACATCTGCATTTGTAGGTTATCGATCTGTTGTTCTCGTTGCGTTTCAAATTGGCGTTGTAAACCATGTGAAGCTGACCTTTCTCGTGATCAACTCTCGTTATTCCGAGACCAGCAGTTTACGGAAAGGGGCGAGTGGTGACGGTTTTACCCGTTAAGTGACCTTCAAGAAGACTCGTTCCTTGCGATTGTTTAGAAAATCGTGGAATTGAATCGTGAATTGTGTTGCTTAATTTTAAAGTTTGTGATAAGGGTAGGACCACCAACAGTGATAGATTGAAATACCCACATGTGCATTTGTTTACATAACAGCTCTCATTTTTCCAACTGAGTGTTATCTCTGACGATATTGGGGGCTTGCTTTGTAGATTTTACGTGTACTTTCCGACTCTTTTGTATAATGTCATTACAAACAGATACGAGTTTCTAAACAATATATTCATATAACTAATCAACTTTAATCTCAAATATTGTTCTTACAATTCACTTGTCTGGGGATATAATAGTCTGACGCTTAATATTTTTTTCAGAGTATTCATTTCAAATTCCACTAGGTGTTAAGCAACAGGGATATTACAGCTGAAATAAAATGATAGCTTAATTGTCTATTCATGAAAAAAGAATCCCATTTGCAATTCTTAAACCGTATTTATAAAGATTCATACGGGAATATAAGGTGAACAGTTGGTATTAATTACGGTAGAATATTTGTTTAACATATCATCATCACCATCACCATCACTATCACCACCATCATCATCATCATCATCATCATCAGCAGCAGCAGCAGAATTGTTTGAACAAATAATAAATCCTTTAAAAAGAAACAATTAGACACTTAACTGACTTTGGGCTTTGAATTCTAAACTTCAACTTTGAATTGTGTAATTATATCTCAACATCCAGTTTTCACTCTTTGTACATAGGTGACAATAAAATATTGGTATATGTGCTTTACAAATGATCACTATGTTGTTAGTTGTTTTCTTTTATAGTTTACGAAAACCCTTAATTCAATACATCTGTTGGTATTCTAAGTCTTTTCACAATAGGGGCGGTGGGGTAGCCTAGTGGTTAAAGCGTTGGCTCGTCACGCCGAAGACCCGGGTTCGATTCCCCACATGGGCACAATGTGTTAAGCCCATTTCTGGTGTCCCCGCCGTGATATTGCTGGAATATTGCTAAAAGCGGCGTAAAATTAAACTCCAGTCAGTCAGTCCGTCTTTTCACAATAATTGAAGGAACCCTGTCCGAATAATGTATTCCGCCTATTTCACGGGGTTGAAACTGTTTTAATGAACACAACCGCCTCCGTGGTGTAGTGGTTAGAGCGTCCGCCCGAAGAGCGGAAGGTCGCGGGTTCGATCCCCGACCGCGTCATACCAAATTTGTTGGTCCCTGTCTGTAGCTCGACATTAATTGGTACAACAATTCAAGGACTGGTCGGCTCGGAGTCATTATAATGTGTCTGAGTGGGGTATTCATGCTTTACTGCGGCATGGTATCTCAGTGGGCTAGCACTATAAAACCAGTTTAAGTCTGGGCTAGAACAAGCAGCCGCACATACACATACACTGCATGCACGTCGTCATATGAGCGAAATATTCTCAAGCACGACGTTAAACCTAATTTCACCTCACCTAACCTTTAATGAACTCAGCAGGGGAGGTAACCACAGGAGGCAAATATAATAGTGAAACAAGAGCAACATTCCAGCTTTCTGACGTCAGCCTGTTACAAATTGAGTCTGGACCAGACAATCCAGTGACTGAAATCGTGAGAATCGATCTATGCAATTGGGATTCGAAGACATGCATCAACCAAGTCAGCGAGCCTGACCTTCCAATCCAGGTAGTAGCCTGTTACGACAAGCATGGTTTGCTGGAGACCAATTCTTTCCCGGATCTGCATGGGTTCTCACCTTCGATTACGTATATTCCGTATACCAGGGATATTTTCAGTCACGTATAACTGAATTCAAATCAATTAGGTCACCATAGTAACGCGCACATACCAAGTCAACGGGGCAGTGGGGTAGCCTAGTGGTTAAAGCGTTCGCTCGTCACGCCGAAGACCCGGGTTCGATTCCCCCATGGGTACAATGTGTGAAGCCCTTTTCTGGTGTCCCTCGCCGTGATATTGCAGGAATATTGCTAAAAGAGGCGTAAAACCATACTCACTCACTCACTATCAAGTCAACACTCACACAATGGCTCACTGCACCAGATCACAATCACGTCACGATCACGAGTGAGTGAGTGAGTTTTACCCCGGCCTGGAACATCATATGTGTGCAAAACCCCGAAATGTGGCATGTCTTAGACCTTTACCACGAGCAGATGCTCAGAAAACTGGAAACATATTTGGATGGAACCGGATACGAACAATGAATAACGGTTTTTCAGGTTGATATCAAGGTATTTTCAGCATGTCAACTCAACAAAAATATCCATTGTACAATTATGTTTATTCAATGATAATCAATCAACTTTTTGGATTAACTACAAAGCAGGAAATAATATGATCATTCAAATATTCATGCTGTAACATCATCAAAATAAATTTAAAAAATTACGTCAACGACCTCCAGGTTTTTCTAAACATTAGTCATATCTATATCAATTAAACAATTGACTTAAATGACTACATCAAGTGTATCTTATTGAGAATTATTCGTTCGGTTAAATTGATAAAAGTGTATTTTACTGCGTTTCCATTTATTTACTCAAGAGTTAAAGTTCTTAAACGTATAAAGAATATACAAAGGAATATAATCCAGGGATATCAGCTACGTAGATGCATAAAGCCAGGTGATGGGGCCATGTCTTCATCCTTGCTTCTGTTCCTTGTCGATTGACCCAACCTTCACAGTTTTGTCCTTCTTGACATCGATAAACTCCTTCCCGCTGACGTCAGTGTAGTTCCGACATTCCTTTATAGTTCTGTTGGGTACCTGGAAAATAGTATTCGTGCAAAATACATACATTGAAAAAAATCGTCTTTTTCTCAATCGGTAAACCTGTATAATTATGTAAGGTATTCGTCAAATTAAGGAATGTTTTTTAAAATCCAACAATTCGATTTTGCTTCAGTGTATTTGAATTAACAAGCGGGTAATTATTTCTGCTTCAAAATGGCCTTGTGGAGTTACGTCCCTTGATTTAGCCAGTACTCGCTGATCGTGTACGAAACTCGACTCCGCTTGGTTTTGGCCTAGTAATGTCAAACTTACGCTCGCCAGTTTGAACAAAGAGGTGGCATAAATGTCTACGGTCTGATTGGGCCCACCTTCAACAATAACCTGTGATGCCGTGAGATGACTGAAAAGTTCCCTGAAGTGCTGTTGGGGCAAGTACTCTCTTCAATGAAGAGTACTGCATGTAAGCATGTACCTCACCGTGTTAGTCTAGAGTACTGCATGTAAGCTATACCTCACCGTGTTAGTCTAGAGTACTGCAATTTAAGCATGTACCTCACCTTGTTCAGTCTAGAGTACTACAGGTAAGCACTACACCTCACCTTGTTCAGTCTAGAGTACTACAGGTAAGCACTACACCTCACCTTGTTCAGTCTAGAGTACTACAGGTAAGCACTACACCTCACCTTGTTCAGTCTAGAGTACTACAGGTAAGCACTACACCTCACCGTGTCAGTCTAGAGTACTACAGGTAAGCACTACACCTCACCTTGTTCAGTCTAGAGTACTACAGGTTAGCACAACACCTCACCTTGTTCAGTCTAGAGTACTACAGGTAAGCAGTACACCTCATCGTGTCAGTCTAGAGTACTACAGGTTAGCACAACACCTCACCGTGTCAGTCTAAGCACTACATCTCACCTGTGTCAGTCTAGAGTACTACAGGTAAGCACTACACCTCACCTTGTTCAGTCTAGAGTACTACAGGTAAGCACTACACCTCACCGTGTCAGTCTAGAGTACTACAGGTTAGCACTACACCTCACCGTGTCAGTCTAGAGTACTACAGGTTAGCACTACACCTCACCGTGTCAGTCTAGAGTACTACAGGTTAGCACTACACCTCACCGTGTCAGTCTAGAGTACTACAGGTTAGCACTACATCTCACCTTGTTCAGTCTAGAGTACTACAGGTAAGCACTACACCTCACCGTGTCAGTCTAGAGTACTACAGGTTAGCACTACACCTCACCGTGTCAGTCTAGAGTACTACAGGTTAGCACTACACCTCACCTTGTTCAGTCTAGAGTACTACAGGTAAGCACTACGTCTCACCGTGTCAGTCTAGAGTACTACAGGTAAGCACTACATCTCACCTTGTTCAGTCTAGAGTACTACAGGTAAGCACTACATCTCACCTTGTTCAGTCTAGAGTACTACAGGTAAGCACTACACCTCACCGTGTTCAGTCTAGAGTACTACAGGTAAGCACTACACCTCACCGTGTCAGTCTAGAGTACTACAGGTTAGCACTACACCTCACCGTGTCAGTCTAGAGTACTACAGGTAAGCACTACGTCTCACCGTGTCAGTCTAGAGTACTACAGGTAAGCACTACACCTCACCTTGTTCAGTCTAGAGTACTACAGGTTAGCACTACACCTCACCTTGTTCAGTCTAGAGTACTACAGGTAAGCACTACACCTCACCGTGTCAGTCTAGAGTACTACAGGTAAGCACTACATCTCACCTTGTTCAGTCTAGAGTACTACAGGTAAGCACTACACCTCACCTTGTTCAGTCTAGAGTACTACAGGTTAGCACTACACCTCACCTTGTTCAGTCTAGAGTACTACAGGTAAGCACTACACCTCACCTTGTTCAGTCTAGAGTACTACAGGTAAGCACTACACCTCATCTTGTTCAGTTTAGAGTACTACAGGTAAGCACTACACCTCACCTTGTTCAGTCTAGAGTACTACAGGTAAGCACTACACCTCACCGTGTCAGTCTAGAGTACTACAGGTTAGCACTACACCTCACCGTGTCAGTCTAGAGTACTACAGGTAAGCACTACATCTCACCGTGTCAGTCTAGAGTACTACAGGTAAGCACTATGTCTCACCTTGTTCAGTCTAGAGTACTACAGGTTAGCACTACATCTCACCTTGTCAGTCTAGAGTACTACAGGTAAGCACTACACCTCACCTTGTTCAGTCTAGAGTACTACAGGTAAGCACTACACCTCACCTTGTTCAGTCTAGAGTACTACAGGTAAGCACTACACCTCACCTTGTTCAGTCTAGAGTACTACAGGTAAGCACTACACCTCACCTTGTCAGTCTAGAGTACTACAGGTTAGCACAACACCTCACCGTGTCAGTCTAGAGTACTACAGGTAAGCACTACACCTCACCTTGTTCAGTCTAGAGTACTACAGGTTAGCACTACACCTCACCTTGTTCAGTCTAGAGTACTACAGGTAAGCACTACACCTCACCGTGTCAGTCTAGAGTACTACAGGTTACACCTCACCGTGTCAGTCTAGAGTACTACAGGTAAGCACTACACCTCACCTTGTCAGTCTAGAGTACTACAGGTTAGCACTACACCTCACCGTGTCAGTCTAGAGTACTACAGCTAAGCACTACATCTCACCGTGTCAGTCTAGAGTATTACAGGTAAGCACTACATCTCACCTTGTTCAGTCTAGAGTACTACAGGTAAGCACTACACCTCACTTTGTTCAGTCTAGAGTACTACAGGTAAGCACTACACCTCACCGTGTCAGTCTAGAGTACTACAGGTTAGCACTACACCTCACCGTGTCAGTCTAGAGTACTACAGGTAAGCACTACATCTCACCGTGTCAGTCTAGAGTACTACAGGTAAGCACTACATCTCACCTTGTTCAGTCTAGAGTACTACAGGTAAGCACTACACCTCACCTTGTTCAGCACTACAGTTTAGCACTTCACCTTGTCAGTCTAGAGTACTACAGGTAAGCACTACATCTCACCTTGTTCAGTCTAGAGTACTACAGGTAAGCACTACACCTCACCTTGTTCAGTCTAGAGTACTACAGGTTAGCACTACATCTCACCTTGTTCAGTCTAGAGTACTACAGGTAAGCACTACACCTCACCTTGTTCAGTCTAGAGTACTACAGGTAAGCACTACACCTCACCTTGTTCAGTCTAGAGTACTACAGGTAAGCACTACACCTCACCTTGTTCAGTCTAGAGTACTACAGGTAAGCACTACATCTCACCGTGTCAGTCTAGAGTACTACAGGTTAGCACTACACCTCACCGTGTCAGTCTAGAGTACTACAGGTAAGCACTACACCTCACCTTGTTCAGTCTAGAGTACTGCAGGTAAGCACTACATCTCTACCTTGTTCAGTCTAGAGTACTACAGGTTAGCACTACATCTCACCTTGTTCAGTCTAGAGTACTACAGGTAAGCACTACACCTCACCTTGTTCAGTCTAGAGAATACTACAGGTAAGCACTACACCTCACCCTGTTCAGTTTAGAGTACTACAGGTAAGCACTACACCTCACCTTGTTCAGTCTAGAGTACTACAGGTAAGCACTACACCTCACCGTGTCAGTCTAGAGTACTACAGGTAAGCAGTACAGGTAGAGCACTGCACTAGCTCGACGTGTCAGTCTAGAGTACTACAGGTAAGCACTACATCTCACCGTGTCAGTCTAGAGTACTACAGGTAAGCACTACACCTCACCTTGTTCAGTCTAGAGTACTACAGGTAAGCACTACACCTCACCTTGTTCAGTCTAGAGTACTACAGGTAAGCACTACACCTCACCGTGTCAGTCTAGAGTACTACAGGTAAGCACTACACCTCACCGTGTCAGTCTAGAGTACTACAGGTAAGCACTACACCTCACCTTGTTCAGTCTAGAGTACTACAGGTAAGCACTACACCTCACCTTGTCAGTCTAGAGTACTACAGGTAAGCACTACACCTCACCTTGTTCAGTCTAGAGTACTACAGGTAAGCACTACACCTCACCGTGTCAGTCTAGAGTACTACAGGTAAGCACTACACATCACCTTGTTCAGTCTAGAGTACTACAGGTAAGCACTACACCTCACCGTGTCAGTCTAGAGTTCTACAGGTAAGCACTACACCTCACCGTGTCAGTCTAGAGTACTACAGGTAAGCACTACACCTCACCGTGTCAGTCTAGAGTATCTACAGGTAAGCACTACACCTCACCGTGTCAGTCTAGAGTACTACAGGTAAGCACTACATCTCACCGTGTCAGTCTAGAGTACTACAGGTAAGCACTACGTCTCACCTTGTACAGTTTCGTGTACTGTGGGTGATGATGCTCATACACGGGGTCGTTGCTGGCTTTGTTGTAGCAGGGGATGAAGACCCAGCGTCTCAGGGGGCTGTTGTTGGACCCGCTGGTGTGCAGGAGGAGACAACTGAAGAACAGGGCGTCCCCTTTTCAGAAAGAAAATACTTGTGAACAGCCCGCATGCTTCTACGGGGAACACTTACGCAGTGTGATAAAAATTACGGTTATCCTTGCACTCAGCTTGATCTTCCCCATCTGTGTTTATCAAAATATTGTTTCCGAAGCAAAGCGTCTCCGTCTTCGTCATAAACAGATTTAAACACTTGTACCAAAATCCTAAATTTTACAATTCCTTAAAATACAATACACAATTGACTAGTCATTGCGTGTGTTTGTGACGGGTGTGACCGGTGGGGCAAGGCAAGGTCACTGTTTGTCTAAGACTTGGTATCATCAATCTTTGATAGCGATTCATAAACAGGCTCCTGATATAGCAAGAATTGTAGAAGGGTCTTTGCTTCAACAGAGATTTATAATGATTTCACGAAATGGTTATTTTGCTATCATGTTCGTGATTGTAATGAGTAGCAATAGCATCAATACTCGAACTGGGCTTCTTGAAGCAGCTTTGTTTCCAGAAAAACATATCTTTTCTAGCAAACGGTTCATTTGTAATAGTGATGTTATAAGATTTGAAATCATTTAGTTTAATTCCTTGTTGAATTCAAGCGTAAAATGGGGAAAGAGTCCGGTGTATCTATCCTATTTTACGGAGACCGACACCTTGTTTATCAGTGATCCACGTATCTATAGCTCACCTGGTTCCAGCTCCACATATTTATGTGGACAAAGCTTCCTTATTTCATTAACCCTGTCCATATCCGCTCCGTGCTGGCCTTCTCGGAATTTGTGTTCAATTCGCCCGCATCTGTTGGAGCCGTCGAGAATCTGACAGGGGAGACATATAATTAGGCTATCATCTAGTCTCTGACATCAACATGTTTTCTGCGAAAGTCAGTCCTTAAATCATCTCATCAAAACATAGTAAATAACATATTATAAAAGAGAAATGCTTTCTTCATTTTCAAACTGCAGTAATCTACATTTGCCAAATATTATAGACTTGCAAGGGCTGTACTGGACTTAGTTTGTTCAGGGTTCGTATGAGGTGAGGTGAGGTGAGGTGAGGTGAGGTGAGGTGAAATTGGGTTTTACGTCGTGTTTGATAATATTTCGCTGATATGACGACGTGCATGCATGCGTGCGTGTGTATGTGTATGTGCAGCTGCTTGTACTAGCCCAGACTTAAGCTGGTTTTATAGTGCTAGCCCACGTCTTTTGGTATTACGCGGTCGGGGATCGAACCTACGACCTTCCGCTCTCCGGGCGGACTCTCTAACCACTACACCCCGGCCCGAGATTTTATTACCTCCCTTGGTTGGCTTTTTATCTAATCAGATGTCTACGCTGGGAAGTTGAGTGTACCAATCACAACTCACTTTCGCTTTTTAAATTATCTAACCGACTAAACTCGTCAACACAATAATATATTGTTGCAGAGGAACTCTGAAAGAAGCAGTTCTTGCATATATTTTTAAAGTTTCAAACCTGTCAATTTGTCTGTATGTTTTCCCAAAAAATCTAAGTCGCACTGCGAACAAACAGCGGCTGTGGCCACTATTTTTGTTGCCACTGGCAAGCACGGTTTTAACGGCGGCTTATCTGATTTGCTACTGTGAGAAAAACGGAGCCAGCAAAGGGAGGTAATAAAATCATCGGGCCGAGCCGTAGATGCAACCAGGGTTTTGTGGAGAGTTATCATAACGTATACCCTGGAGATTATCGAGGATGTAATAATATATGCCACAATCAGTATTTGCTTAGAATATTCCATAATTTCTAACTATGAAAAAAACAGTTTGTACATTATTTTACGACTCGTTACAATTTGATGACAATGATGCCAATACTTTAAATAAATGTTCGTGTAAAATAATGCTTACTTATAATGATAAGATGAGGTGTTATATTCACCAACGGGTCGTATATATGCATTTTGGCCATAGAAAGATTCCCTACCTTGAGGCCACGAATAGCTGCAAAACTGCTGATGCGGTGATAAACAATTCTCACTCACTCACTCACCTCGAGGCAGCCATTTTCCTTCACGCAGCGATCAACCGGAATAAAGACACTGAGCATGTCCGGAAATAGGCAGCCATTTTGGTACCAGTAGCTAATGAAGATATGTCCTTGGTTAACGATTTACTTCAGAAGTATACTCTGCCGACTTAGAAACGAACATTTGAAATTCATGTGTACAAATACAAATGTAAATGTGGACATCTGTTTATGACACACTTGTTTGAAGAAGGTGGAACGATATCATGTTTGATGTTTGTTTTTTAACACCGCACTCAGCAAACGTACTCAAATCCCAACGTAATGGCGGCGGTTTGTAAATAATCGAGTCTCGGGCAGACAATCCAGTGATCAACATCATGAGCATCGTTCAACGCAATGGGATACGATGACATGTGTCATCCCAGCGAGTCTGACCACGACAAGCATGGTTTGCTGAAGACCAGTATCAAGGAACAACATCAACAGCTGAAGAGGTTCAGAGGTTCATCCGGTTTGCTGTTTAATACCGTTCTGGGATATTCCAGCTATATAATGATAGCCAGAACAGTCGAGTCTAGGACTGAGAACCAGTGATTGATGTCATGAGCAACGATATAGCCAACATGCCAACGCCAATCAACTGACCGATTCTATAAGCTATACGCCGGTCGCTGATTACGCACGGAGGCTGATATGTTAGACAGAAGAGGAAGAATATGGGTGTTATATTAGATGGAGGAGAAGGAGGAGAAGATCTTACCCGTAATCCTGGTGCCAGATGAACTTGCCTCCACTGTTAGGGTTCTTCATCGTTAACTTGCTGTGGTAGTGATATACCTCTCCGCCAAGAAGCTGAAATAGCAGTTTATGTCAAAGACTGATTATAAATACATGGGTGGACATAGGTGTCCAAATTATATGTTTTTCAGTTATACTTATTTTTATGAACTGACTTTAATTTTCGTGTTAACTGAGATATAAACGCCAGAATCGCTGTGCATACTGTATAAATGCGCATCCTATGGCTTTACCTTTTCTGAAAATCCAGCCACCTTTTCACTTCGGGCTATGATGCCCGTGACGTCATTTCCGGGATGGCTCCAAATAACCATTTTCCCCTCTCCGCCATCTCCATCCGGAAGCTGGATAGAATAGTAAAGAATTACTTGAATGAGTTAAAAAATAAAACTTATTACTATGAGTGAGTGAGTGAGTTTAGTTTTACGCCGCTATATTCCAGCAATACGGCGGCGGTCTGCCAACAATCGAGTCTGGGCCAGACAATCCAGTGAACAACAGCATGAGCATCGATCTGCACAATTGGGATACGATGACATGTGTCAACCAAGTCGGCGAGTCTGACCACCCGATCCCGTTAGTCGCCTCTTACGACAAGCACGGGTTACTGAAGATTAGTCCTCAACCCAATCTTCACGGGCGTAAATCAATCAATCAAACAATAGTCAATCAATTGAAAGAAAGAAATATTTAGATATCCTTTTTGCTACTTCAAATTGTTACGATGCAAGTTTTCACTCCTGTTCATCTGTACTCTTGTTATTCAGAATAATAAGAATAACACTAAATGTATAACTACTTTGAACTTATGATACAAAATCAAAATCAAAATAATAACAATGTATATTTATTTATTGCCTGTAATGTTTCCCGTGGCAGAAATACACATACCCCGTAAGCATTCTCGGAAATGGCGTTATGGTCGTCAACGTTCTTCTTGAGTTGGGCCATTTCCTCTTTATCAAGCAAGCCTCTACAAAACAACACGAACTTTTACAAACAGAATGACAACGTGTGATACATCTGGTGTAGAGTGTCAGTCAGTGTAGTGTATTCAAAAGCAAGCGACATATGCCTTTGATTGGTAACTGAAATTAAGACATCTTCACATCTTCGAATTTTGTGTACAGTCTACATAGCTTGTCACTGCCTTTCACTTTTGTCGTGTTCTTCATCTCATTTGGGAGATACAGCACATTCAAAGATGCTGCCGGCAGAAACAACAAGATTGTTTGTTGTTTTACGCCACACTAAGCAATATTCCAGCTATATGGCGGCAGTCTTTGAATAATCGAGTCAGGACCAGACAATCCAGTGATCAACATCATGAGCAGCGATCTACGCAGCTGGGATACGATGACATGTGTCAACCCAGTCAGCGAGCCTGACCACCCGATCCCGTTAGTCGCATCTTCCGACAAGCATGGGTTGCTGAAAGCAAGCTCTAATCCATTGGTCACAAACATCAATTTTCTGTCTCACTGTGCATGTATAGTACCTATTGTCATGGAAACCCGAAAATGGGTCCCACGTCACAGCAACCTAGCATCCTTGTCGTAAGAGGCAAGCTGACGTCAACGTCAAGCACACTAATCGTAGTAACACAAGTCACAGGGACGATGAATAATCTGATTAGAATGTAATCATATCTTATGCAGTCTGTAATTTGATATTGCAAGTCAACATAGCAGACAAGTTATCTGATCGGTAAGGCGTTAAAAGGAAGCGTTTCTAGGGCAAAATATTTATGACAATAAATATTATATTTTATTTAAACTTAAGAATACATTCCCCATGCCTTATTAATTATAATCTGAGAGTGAGTGAGTGAGTTTAATTTAACGCCGCACTCAGTAAAGATTCCAGCTATATGGCGGCGGTCTGTAAATAATCGAGTCTGGACCAGACAATCCAGTGAACATCAAGAGCATCGATCTACGCAGTTGAGATACGATGACATGTGTCAACCAAGTCAGCGAGCCTGACCACCCGATCCCGTTAGTCGCCTCTTACGACATATGAGTAAAAAACACGCCCGAGAAACATTTTGTTTACTTCAACCCTTCTGAATACAATGGCTGTGCATACATAGCTGACTTTGTCAGTAATATAATGTCTAGTGGGGATTTGTATTTCTTATAAAATAACAATCCTGATAAAATTCGCGTTAGAATTTATTAATGTTTTGCTCTTCAGAAATCCATGCTTGTAAATTAGGGGCCTCTGGTGGCTTGAGGGGGTGCAACTTTGTCGTCACACTTCACTGTATCCCAATGTCGTAGGTCGATGTTCATGATATCAGTCACTGGTTTGTCTAGTCCAGACGTGAACATTGAATGACCACCAGTGCATTAATAATCCTCTGACCGCTGTGATTGGGTGATTTTGTGTAGGATTTTTGTGTTTTTAAAATGTACACCCATCAAGCAATTGAAACTGGCCCATGTCTTTCAATATGTAGCGCTGTCATTTTTAACACAATGACTTATGCTGAATGTGTGCGATATTTTCAAGTACATGACATTTGGTGCGGAAATGGGGCTGGTGTGTTCAACCCTTGTACTCGGAGAAGGAATAGATTAACCAAAACATTTGTGTATTTATTGTGGCTTTAAGGCCACATTGTGCATATATACACATTTAAGGGCTGTTAACGACTTGAATCCAGGGCTCAGATTTTCGAAGCTCTTAGCGCTACGATAGTCGTAAGTTAATGTTAATGTATGGCACTTACGACTATCTTAGCGCTAAGAGAGCTTCGAAAATCTAGGCCCAGCTGGGCCCTTATTCTCGAAACGATCGTAGCCCTAATCTGTGATCGTAGCCAATGTGTTAGGAATGGGCGTAAGAAGTTCGTAGGGCTACGAACGTTTCGAGAATAGCTCGCCCGGGTCTAGATTTCCGAAGCTCTCTTAGTGCTAAGATAGTCGTAAGTGCCATACATTAACATTAGCTTACAACTATCTTAGCGCTAAGAGAGCTTCGAAAATCTAGGCCCTGATCCACAAAGCATTCGTAACTTTACGACCTTGTATTTCTTATAAAATAACAATCCTGATAAAATTCGCGTTAGAATTTATTAATGTTTTGCTCTTCAGAAATCCATGCTTGTAAATTAGGGGCCTCTGGTGGCTTGAGGGGGTGCAACTTTGTCGTCACACTTCACTGTATCCCAATGTCGTAGGTCGATGTTCATGATATCAGTCACTGGTTTGTCTAGTCCAGACGTGAACATTGAATGACCACCAGTGCATTAATAATCCTCTGACCGCTGTGATTGGGTGATTTTGTGTAGGATTTTTGTGTTTTTAAAATGTACACCCATCAAGCAATTGAAACTGGCCCATGTCTTTCAATATGTAGCGCTGTCATTTTTAACACAATGACTTATGCTGAATGTGTGCGATATTTTCAAGTACATGACATTTGGTGCGGAAATGGGGCTGGTGTGTTCAACCCTTGTACTCGGAGAAGGAATAGATTAACCAAAACATTTGTGTATTTATTGTGGCTTTAAGGCCACATTGTGCATATATACACATTTAAGGGCTGTTAACGACTTGAATCCAGGGCTCAGATTTTCGAAGCTCTCTTAGCGCTACGATAGTCGTAAGTTAATGTTAATGTATGGCACTTACGACTATCTTAGCGCTAAGAGAGCTTCGAAAATCTAGGCCCAGCTGGGCCCTTATTCTCGAAACGATCGTAGCCCTAATCTGTGATCGTAGCCAATGTGTTAGGAATGGGCGTAAGAAGTTCGTAGGGCTACGAACGTTTCGAGAATAGCTCGCCCGGGTCTAGATTTCCGAAGCTCTCTTAGTGCTAAGATAGTCGTAAGTGCCATACATTAACATTAGCTTACAACTATCTTAGCGCTAAGAGAGCTTCGAAAATCTAGGCCCTGATCCACAAAGCATTCGTAACTTTACGACCTGTCGTAACTCGACAGTTTACTATGGGCTTACAAACGTCATAGCGCTACGAACGCTTTAATGTTGACTGTGACGTCAAATAACACGCAAAGGAATACACCTTTTAATGGAGTACTATTTTCACAAGAGATTATTTCATGAGAAAAGAGCTACCTGACGATGATGTACCCATGGTCATCGTAGGCTTTTTTGACATTGTCATCAACGTCGAAGTTGTTGTCAAATGTGAATTCTGCATGACAAAACAAACAACTGATTAAAATAAAAACAACATGACACATGTAAAATTAACGAACCTCGTCAATCCGGACACTTATTTCAGACGCTTATGTTTAGAGACGTCTACATATTCAAAAAAATGATATAACGTAATAAAGATTATTAATTTGGAAGATCCTAAGAAGGCCTCTGTCCAGATTGACGAGGTTTCTGTACATGAACCTACAATGATAACATGTGTGATGTGTTTATTAAATTAACTGTTTATTAAATTAACTTCGAGATTCATAATGACCTGATTTACACAAAGCTTTTCTCCACATCGCCGTGAAATGACTGAAACACCGTTCACAGCAGCGTCGACATCATCCTCACTCACTCACTAACTCAACAAAACGGACACCTACATTTTCAGTCACACATTAATACATCAGTACATTCCTTTAGTACATCGGAAAACAAACTAAACCTGGCGCAACAAGTTTCTCCCGCAGTTAAGTGTGCAGGTTTGTTGAAATAGTATCGGTTCACTAAACGTGGTAACGTAGATCAGCAGAAACTGTAGCTTTACATGAAACCTACCTGACGCCGTCGACATCGTTACGTGATTGTGTCGCAACTGTCCCAGTTCCAGACAACCTTGACCACAACAACAGCGTAACCCGATCACTGTTATCTCTGCCAACAGGACAGCTCTGTACTACATAGATAGCCGAAATCGTTCCACGTCCGACATCTCATTTGTTGAACCGTACATGGACATGCTCTATCATAATCCAATGATAGATGCTTAGTTCAAACATATACTACCCATCAAAAGTTTAGACTCATTAGTGTAAATGTAGCCACTTACTTCAGTCAACTGTTCTGAACTAGCTTTTGCCAAATATTCCATACTGTTTAAAGGTACTGTTTACACATGAACTGATGTATTGTAAAACAAATTTGTAACGTTGAAAAGATTATTATCATGAGTTCAATAAATGATGAAACTCAGTGAAAATTGACGAATTCTTAACAAAACTTTACAACAAAACGCAGCTGTTCACATGTACGATATTTGCACATGCTTTTCAGCAATTTGATGCATGATCCTCGTGCAATTCATCTGCATAAGGTTTACAGTTGGTTCCCCTAAATTAGTGGAGAATTTCATCTTCGATGTAACCACCTATATATACATAACATATAGTGAGTTCTTAACGTGAGTCTAAACTTTTGATGGATAGTATATATAGTTTCCATGAACATAATTTGGCAGAGCTGTTTACAATTTATGTAAGTGCAAACAAAATCATTGGAGACACATACCTAATTTACTCGGTGGGGGGTGGGGGTGGGGGTAGCCTAGTGGGTAAACTCGTCACTACGATGTGTGAAGCCCATTCTGGTGTCCCCCGCCGTGATATTGCTGGAATATTGCTAAAAGCGGCGTAAAACTAAAATCATTCACTCACTCACGTAATGTACACATCCACACATTGTCAAACCAGCTGCATTCCAAGAATTCACAAAATGATCAGGAATGAAAGACTGTGTGAGCATATGCAGGGTTGCTTATTTGTTGTTTAACACTCACTCGGTAATATTCCAGCCACATGGCGGTCTCTAAATACTAGTATGCGAGTTTGGACTAGACAATCCAGTGTTTGAAATCATGAGCATCAATCTGGGCAGTTAGGATACGATGACATATGTCAACCCAGTCAGCGAGCCTGACCACCTAATCCCGTTAGTCCCTTCTTTCTACAAGCATGGGTTCCTGAAGACCAATTCTAACACGGTTCGTCACGGGTCCAAGCATGCCTACTTTCACACCTGATGCCATTCCTGATTTTCACAGATTCATTCAGATAATGTTCACCGCTGTTTGTTTTTATCCCCAAATAGAATCTGTCTCGTCGGAAAGTCGTGACTGAATTTGCGTAATATATTTGATTATTAAAGGAAGAGACAGAAATGAAACAAATGTTTCCAGAGCAACACTGACCCCGCTTTTAAAATGTTATCCTCATATGTGTTTGTACATTCCTTGTTTGCTAAAAACCCAGGCTTTGCTTAATAATACCAGGTCAAGGCATCCTTCAGAAGTTGCTACTTGGGCAGTTTTGATGCTCAGCCCTGAACCTTGCTCACGTGTTAGTTTTTCTTGAAGCATAGATAAGCTCTGATACTCTGGGTATATACTGAAATCGAACCGTGAACTTATTTCTCGGTACTATTTCTGTCAAACTAACTGTAATTCCTTCCTTCCCGTATAATAAAGAGGAAAAAGAACAAGCAGTTGTCGCTAAGGTGACATAATCCCCCGCCGCAAAATATCAAATTAAAACTTAGTAAGAGTAATGAAAGTGAAGGTCGTAGTTTAGGATGAAGTTAAATGTCAACGAAAACACGACCAGTCAACCTCTCTTGATATCTTGCTCTGCTCTGTAGCTGTTCAAACACACAAATATTTTCAAGACTCACTTTCACCTTGACATTTTTTTTATGTCATGCGGTATGAAATATGCAAAGAATAGTAATAGAGAAACTGCTTATAAAAACATTCAAGAGAAGTCTTGAAAGTCTATGAAGAAAATCCAGTGAACTGTTCGTGAGATATCTTGCTGACAATCTTAACATACTGAAATCTTCAAAGTGTCGCTCTGACCTTGAAAACCCGGTGAATGGTTCTTGGGATATCCCGCTGACAAGCTTAACATGCAGGTTAACATGCTAAATTCTTTAAAGTGTTGCTGTGACCTTGAAAAATGGTGACGGTCACCAAAATCAACTGGGCCCTGCGCCTTCCCTATATCAAGCTTGGTGTCAAACAGGAAGTAAATCCAGTAAGCTTGAGTATCAAGGGTAAAACGTTAATCCCCTGAAGTCAAGGTCACCAGTTAACGGTTCTGAGAGTGAGTATCTTACGCCGCACTGAATATTCCAGCTATATGGCGGCGGTCTGTAAAAATCGAGTTACCAGAGTCCCAACAGCATGGTGACGCCAATTGGTCCGATGACATGTGTCAACCTCACTGACCACCCGATCCCCTTACCTTTCTTATACTGCAAGCACATGATAAACCTAGGTACCAAGTATGAAAAGAATCCAGTCAATGGTTCTTAAGATATTCCAATTCGTACGGAACGTAGTATTTCTGTGCTGTTAACTTATGGCTAAATTCGACTGCAATCGCCAGCGGCTGAAGGGATGGTGTAAATCCAGCTAGGGTCCATGCAGGTAGCAAACGTAATGTAAGTCCCCATGGTTCCTAGTATGGTGATCTACCTTCAGTTGTTGGCGATCTATAGCCCGTGTTTTATACTGTATTGTCTTCTTTAATTGGAATGTTTTAGCTTTGCTCGCTGGTTTTATATTATATCTGTGATTTTCTAGTATTTTTACTGTCCATCGTCGACAGGTTTTAATCTTCAAAATGTTTTCACTTTTTATTGTATAAATTGTTTTCGTCACGATATGGCTGAGATATTGCCGATGTGACGTTAAATATTAACTCACTCACTCCAATTCGTACGGTCGGACGGACGGAGCCTAATACTATATCCCCCACTGCGCGCTAAAAGCGAGGCAGGGGATAAAAACATTACTTTAAGAAGGCTGACAGACAGATCTGTTAAGAGAGAAACAATTAATCGATTTATTATGCAAACACCAAATGTCACATGTTGGTGAATTACACTTTACCAGATGTAAGGTATGTCTAAAAAAAACCGGCTAGAAACAAACTGTGTGATGCAAGGTGATTGTCAAAATTAATGGTCTTCAGTGATTTATCAACCTTCTTGAAAACCGTCAAAATCAAGAATGACACCCCATGCACGTGTATGGGGCTACTGCGTTGTGCACGTGCCTTCCTTGCGGTGTGTTTAGGGGTGGTGATAAAGAGAAATGGTGGGGCGTTTATGAGATGTCTATCATTAAATGGTTTTTTAACGCTTATTCTTCATATTCAAATTGAAAGTTTAGATTACCCTACTTTTTTTAAGAGTATATATTCTCGCTATTTCAAGAGCCCCGAACATGCCATGGTTGGTCGTCAATTGCGGATGATGGTCGTTGGCAACTGAACAAATTGGATGGTCATGATCAGGTTCGATGAATCCGTTGATGGTGTGTCCGAGGTTCCAAGTAGATGTGGTTCCTTGCTCATAATATCAATCGACCCGTGAAGATCCGTGGTAGAATAGGTCTTCAGCAACCCATGCTTGCCACAAAAGGCGACTATGCTTATCGTAAGAGGCGACTAACGGGATCGGGTGGTCAGGCTTGCTGACTTGGTTGACACATGTCATCGGTTCCCAATTGCGCAGATCGATGCTCATGCTGTTGATCACTGGATTGTCTGGTCCAGACTTGATTATTGACAACCCGCCGCCATATTGCTGGATTATTGCTAAGTGCGGCGTAAATCTAAACTCACTCACTCATAATATCAATCACTGGAACGTTAAACCATTTACTATCTCGAATATTGCTCAGTGTGGTGTTAAACAACCCACACACTCCTACGAATGATACGACTGTGGCCTGTATATGTTTGAGTCTGGGCTAGATAATCCAGTGACTGATATCATGAGCAACGGCTCGGACCGACCGATCCAAATGTCGCCTCTTACGACCGACATGGGTTGTAAAAGCCATATTTTAAACAAGAATCGGGATGAGGCTTGCAAGGTTATTCACAGCACGGAGTGAGTGAGTGAGTTTGGTTTTACGCCGCTTTTAGCAATATTCCAGCAATATCACGGCGGGGAACACCAGAAATGGGCTTAACACATTGTACCCATGTGGGGAATCGAACTCGGGTCTTCGGCGTGACCAGCGAACGCCTTAACCACTAGGCTACCCCACCACCCCATTCACAGCACGGACATTCAAATAGGCGTTTTCTCATTGTTCTTGATGTACTTATCTACAAAACTGCCTTGACCCTCATTCCCCTCGCATAGGCAACACGTGACGTAACCCGCGTGGACAGTGTTTATCACGATCACTCACGTGACACGTGTGTGCAGCTCGTTTAACCGGGTCAGTCTGTTATTGTTGAAGATTGGGTCTTTTGTTTACTAGCAAGATAAAAGTCAGGTCATGTGAAAGATTATACTTCCGGCGTGGGCATTGGCGGAAGGGCTCGCTAAAATCATCGATAATCGGAACTATCGTCAATAGGAAAACATATTTATGATTATCTATATGAAAAATTTTGATAATACATTAACTTTTGTGATAGATTTTTTTTATTTCCTCACACAATTGACAAATTTAGGACTTTATTCATGGACTGCTTCCAAACTGTGTTCAGGACGCTGTTTTGTTAATAATCCATGCAAAAATATCACCACTTACTAGTGATGTGAAATATATTCATTCCTTTCAGACAGTTTTGTTCAAAGTCTCCGATAGTTATTGATAATCGATCGATATTAAGTTAACGATTATCGATCTCTATGATCTATATCGATAGCCAGCCCTGATTGGATCAGAAACTTCTCCCGCGGAAAAAGGCGACAAGATTATTGTTTACCAAAAATGCTCCAGAAATATCGACGTACTGTCCAACTATATGCGTTAGTCGTAGAATATTCTAATCGATCCATGACACACAATTTCCAACTCAATCAAATTTTGGTATCAATACTATCTATTTCATCAACGAATATCTATAATTTAGAATCATGACTTTAAAGGAGCAC